AGGTTTGGAGTCCTTTGATCATTTTCTGGTCTGTGAAGGAATTTGTCATTGAAGGTTAGAGCTGTGTAAAGCCTCTGCAGTTTCAATGAATAGAAAGACTTTTGAATAAAACACCAGTTCGTTTGAAGTCTTTTTGTGACTTTTGACAGCTAAATGATACAAAGAAGAAGAGAGAGGAAGTTTTTCATATGTTAACTCCAGGTTTGTCAACCAGTCAGCGTGCGACAACACAATGCATTTCACCTCTAATTGCCCCGGTGTGTTCTGATGATGCATCACTTTGTTCACCTCCACAGCTCACCGTCACAAGTTCTTTACGGCCGGCAAGCATGTGTGTATTTTGTGTGTGTGTCTTGTGTGTTTGGGTGAGAGGTAGAGGGTTAGCCTGAAGATCGTCAGACCTCAGGCTAAAAATTGATTGGAGCCTTAATTGTATTTCTTGGACTGCTGACGAACACCACGTTTGAAATTCAGCTGGTGCGGCTCGAGGGTCAAGAAAGTCAGAATTTGCTTTTCGCCTCCGCATACGCCTCCTTCAAAACACAACACACATTCGTCCTTTCTTCTCTCTCTCCTTCCTTGAATGATGTTTTCAATAGGTCATTGGCAAGCACTTGGAGATTAATCACACTATCACACTGAGCAAGATCGTGTTTTTTATGTAAAATAATGCTCTGTCATCTGAGAGTTATATTCCATCCATCATAAGCATTTAGCTGACTCTCTCTCACATATAAATCAGTTTAAGGGGGCTGAATTTACAGTAATGACAAATTACACTGTTTATTTTTTGGGATGTTTTGCTGGACACTTGTCCCGTTCTGTTCTTAGCAGGATTTACTGCTTTGGAAACTGATTATTTAAATGGACTTTTTAAAGCTTTTGGAACCACATTACCTCATAATTAGCTCTCTCACAAATACTTTCGAATGAATTAGTGGTGCTTTGATTGAAAAGAAGCGTTGTTAAATAGCGTTATAAGCACTTTGTTGGTATTTGTAATCAGTGCAACATCGATAGTGATTACTTGGAAGTAATTGTCCAAAGCATTCTTATTTGTGTTGTTGTTCTAAATGAGTTGGCAAGGAAAATGAGATGATAACTAGTAGTTCAGGCAGAACCCTGTATTCAATACATGATAGTGTACTTCACTACAAAGCTCGAAACATTATATTTGGAGTGGATGGAGTCGCTGTTGATGTTCCATTTCTCAATCTGTACTTAAAATGTTTTTTTGAACAGCTTGAAGATTTTCTGATGGCTACAGGTGTGAAAACAGCAACTACAGAGAAGAGAGTTCAGAGGAGTTTATTCTTTATTTTTTGACCAGAACAGAATAAATCTTTCTTCCAAATGGACATTGAATTTTTGTCCACATTAAGTATCTCCAGTCCCTCAGCACCACCTCTAAACTTCAAAGTCTTTCAGTGGTCTGTCCCTGCCATCAAAAGCACCAAAGTCTGTCCAGTGAGATGCCACACATCTGCGCCTTCTGTGACAGGAAACTTTGAAATGGAAGCGGTATGGAAAGCAAGGCAACTTCAGAGCTCTGGGTCTGTTTAGAAACACAAAGGGTCTCTTTCAGGTGTGCAAGAATGCCACAGACCCCTTTAAAACAGCTTTAGCTGAAGCACTGCATCCAGACCCTTCCCTGCTTCCCCCTTCCCTCCACCTCCTCCTGCCACATGAGGAAACAGGCAGACCAAGGCATCAAAGTGTTTCTTACCATCCTGTCACTCTGTATTGCGAAGGTCATTGAGGTCTTGTCAGTCACAGCGAGCATGCTGGGAAGTTTGTCTGGAAGTTATGCAGCTACAAAAACAAATGTTGATATCATTCGCTTCATTTTACATTGATTGCTCCCCTTGCTCATTTGGCACATGTTTTCATTCATACCGCTTTAGAATGATTTTGCCTCCATCTGTTGGCTTGCCTAATGATGTTTCCGCTATTTCTCATTTCAGGTTTAATTTTAAAACTCACACATTTACATATTTACCCTGCATGTGCTGGCAGCTTGTTTTTGATTTCGTAGTGGACCAAAACAACAAAACAGTTACATGCAATAAGCAATATGTGACTTTTCCTCTAAGGCAGAGAGCAACGATGATCCATAAACAGTGTGTCTAGTGCTATATTCCAGTCCCAGTGCTATATATCTATTTTTCCCTGGAAAAAAAGTTATTTAGCCACACTTACCTCTGGTTTAAAGATATTCCCATATTGTATTGAAATAAATTGATTTGTCACTTTTGGCTACCATCTTTTTAGGATTAGAAATTTGGGAAATGGGTTTAAAACCTTTTATTTATTGTGCAGTAGAAAGTAGAAGACAGAAGAGTCTGAGAGGTCTCTACCTTTAAACAAGACGCAAGTGTTGTTAAATGACCTTCTGAGTTTTTCAAAGACGGCCAGGGATTCACCTTTCAGAAAAATAGATGCCCAGCTCTATGACCCGAATGTCATGATAATACACAAGAGGCACACGCTGTGCCTATATCTGTAGGTGGTCACCTGCCCAAATCCCCTCAGGCCAACAACTACCTCTAGTTGCTATGCTGATCATGCCTGTCAGCTAGTCCTTGACCCGGTGTCAGCGTCTCTGGACTCCAAAGCTGTCTCTGTCACGTCCTCTTTGCTCTATAGGTTGTGCTGATTAAGGCCAGCATTTAAAGCAGGAACTGGAGCAATCTGCCACCAGCTCTGCCTGCCTGCCTGCCTGCCTTGTCGACTGTTCAGTCAGCAACTAGCGGCCTGATTACAGCCGGCTTTATGGCTCAGCCTAGACAGATGGTGTGGCTAGTACCGTCCTCCCCTACCCTGCCTGCCTGAGCTCATTCTTACCCACTGTCATACAACAGCCAGGGCTGATCAGAAAAGCACTACCAGGAAATTATTATTTAGCAAAGCATGTATTAAACAAATGCACACCATAGTTGGTATGATAGTCAAATTCTTCTTCTTCAGACAGTGAACATTTTATTTTCTAGAAGTTGGACATTTCAGCAGTGCTTGTAGTATTACAGATAATACTTATACCGTATTAACATTAACATACCATGAAAATTCAAACACAAGCTACAAAAACACCAATGGAGTTATTTTTTGGCTTTCAATTTGTGGGTTAAAGGAAAAATCCTTTTGAGGTGCTGGCAGATTTTGTTACCTCTGGATTGAGCCAGGCTAGGTGTATCACTGTCTTTATGCTAAGCTAAGCTAACTGGCTGCTGGCTACAGCTTCATATCTAACAGACAGACAGAGTAGAATTTTCTCATATAACTCTTGTTGAATGTTGAACTATTATTTGCTAATACTTACACATTTAACCATGATAACTTTGTCTGTAAATGTTTAAAGGACTTTCAAAAGTTGGTCAAGCTCTCTTTTTGTATGATTCATACATTAGTTTGACAAGTAGCAAATATCTTCAGTCACACTGACAGGCACATAAGTCATGGATTTGGGACTGAAGAGAAAAGGAGGTGATAGTCACTGCTAATGCAAATGATATGTGACAGATGTCCCACATCCCTAATTAGCATTTTAAACTATGATTTCAACTTTGTTACGTAAGGCTTCCTTTTGTCTTGTTTAACTTCACAGCAAATCAAACCTGGAAAAAGAAGAAGAAGACTGTGTGATGAAATTCAGATGATTCCCACCTGACAATGTCAAAGCCTTTCTTTTGTCAAGATTGTCCTCTCTAACAATGCCTGGCTGTCACTCCCCATCCTCTGCTGCTCCTGAATGTCACTTTTATCTCATCGTTTCCATTTACATGATCCCAGCTGGGTCCAAGATCATCTTACCTACATGTTCATGAATACAAGGTTCTCCATACAGCTCGAGGGATACCGATGGCATGTGGCCCTTATTCAGATGGAAATAGGCAGAGGCATTTTCACATGCACTCTTTGGCACCTGTTTTGCATGCAGGTTGCAGTGTTAGCAGCACAAAATAGAAGCGCAGATTGCTTTAAGCAGACCAGGCCTTCAAGGTCAAGGTCACCCGCTTGGTGTTTGCTGCTGTGATTGCACTTAATTCAAGTCATCATCAGACACTCATGCGGCTGCGCACAGACAAACGCCTACAAAATCACACACAATAAGTCAGTAAGTACTATGTTTGCACATTTTGTACTCAATCTAGTCATTTGGACAAAGCATTCCCTGCATAGTGAGCTGAGCAGAAATTGGGATTCAGTCCAGAAAAAATACCTCTCATCCATCTTGTGTCTCTGGCACTGATTCAGTGCCATTCTCTTTTCATTTTCACTGTGGGCCCATTTGTGTGTTTGTGTGTGCATGCTGATGAAAAGTGTGAAAAAAATCACAGTTGAAAGATGCAATGATCCATTTCAAACAGCATCTTATAAAATTGTAGAACAGCTTGAAAACGTATCCCATTTCAGACCTTTACAGTAGGGCCTTTAAAATGGATCCCATTTAGATGTTTACAGTGGTACCTTTGAGTTGACTCATCCCAGTGAAGCAGCTGATAGCTCCGGCATCACATCATTGCAAGCATTTTAACCCAATATAACCCCGAAAGTCCTCTGGCAGGTTCATACTGGCTGTTCTGCAGTTGAGATTAAAAACATGGACCTTGGCATCAGGGTTACTACATCCTGGAGCAATGGCCTGAGGAGCTCCGGCTGCCTAAAACTGCTGCTGGCTAAACACCAATGTCTTTCAAGAAACAATGTCCCGGTTATTCAGGATAATCCACAGCTTTTGTTTTAATATCTAAAGATTTGTGTGAAACCAACAAGTACTCCAAATTAAAGGACAAAATACATTGTTTGGCCAACTCTAAGGTTAATGTTTGGTTAGGGTATAAAACTGTTCTCCTGTTGTGCAAAAATGTTACAAACATAAGAGTTTGCCACCAGAATGTCTGCAAAATCCAAGAAGTATCTGGCATGTTATGTTCTCCTTGACTCGCCTTTTCAAGTACATGATGCGTAACTTAATGTGATGATATGTGTTCTGTGTGCAGGATGGAAGAGACAGTGCGGTCGCTGCTGCAGAATCAGGGCGTTCCGGAGCAGACTGCTGTGGATACAGTGGACATCATGAAGGCCTACAAGGTAAACCATCCCACGAGGGTCTGACACTTCCTGTGGTTATTTAATGAGACTAAAGTGACAGTGATCGTCCAGAGAGAGGTTATTATTTGAGTTAAAATGCAACCTTTAGTTGGTTAATTGGTCAAAAAGTAATTGATTTATCACAGATGAAAAAGGAACCCTATAAGTTTACCAATATATAGTTATATTCTCTATTTACTCATTCATATGCCAGTAATCATCTATTTCTCAGCTCAGAGATCCAAAGTGTTGACTGAACCAAGGAGAAAGCGTTCATTGCTGACTTGTTACATAATGGAAATGGCTGCTGGGATTGAGCAGAGAGGCAGAAAGAATAAGTAATACCTTATATTTATATATATTTCTGAAGCACAGGGTCACTTTTTAGGTCGCACTTCACAATTTGGAGCTCAAGATGTTTACACAGTGTTGTAGCGCTGAAATGCTGTTGCCTCAGTCTGTTTATCCTCAGTGTGATGTTATTTACTTCCATGTCTAAGAGCCTTAACTATGGGGAAAGATAAGTTATCTTGCTTCCAACTATGTGTGATGCTTTTATTGGTAGACTTTGTCAACCTAGATAGTCTTTATAAATGACTACATGTGTTCATCACTGTGAATAAAAGACAGAAATAGATGGGAAAAAAACTCTTTGAATGATGACCACAAATAAAAGTGGCTGCAATAAAAAACGAGCACTGTAAGATTAAATGTCAAATATGAGAGGCTTGTGAAACATGGGCTTAGGAGTCGTGATCATAGACCGATATGCTGTAAATTGTCTCGAGGTGCAAAAGCTTTATAATGAAAATATAAATATATATGAAATGGATACAATGCGTATGCAAATAATGTTATCTGCGCACGCAGAGTAATCCCTTCCTGGGTTCCCCACCACAAATGGATTATGTTGAGGAGAAACAGTATGACAAGGATGATAGAAAGTGGAATTAGAAGTAGTTGCTAACAGTAAATATTTTCAACTCTGGGCACCTGGGTTCTATCCCAATTGATTCAGTATTATACAGAGAATATGTGAGAGTTTTTTATATTTATCCATGTCTTAATCTTTAACTGTTTGTTTTCTTGGTTAATCTATTAATTGTTTAGTGTACAAAAATGTCATAAAATAGCAAAAAGTGACAGGTGGCATCTTCAAATCACTTGTTTTGTCGGACAAAGAAAATGATTAACTGACCAAACATTTCAGCACTAGTTCAGCTTCTGTTGATCCTGTGTGTATTTAGCACACCTACAGCATCACAGAGCTGCTACAGCAGCATGGCTTTAGACTTCTTACTAATGTCACATAACTCGTAATGGAAAACAATACAATAATAGTCACAGTTAAGTCCAGAAAACTGTGTGAGATGGTGTTGAAGAAGCTTTAGAACTTGATTATATGAGGTAATTAGGTCAGAGAGAATGAACTTGGAGGGTTATTATGGTATTCCCAGTGGCTGTATAACTCAACACCCTCAATTCCTACGCAGTGATGTGCTTCTGCAGCAGCTGTATTCTGTGTATTCAGCAGACAAACTCAATAACTTGAAAGGGCAGCGTGAGGGACAAGGTTCCCTCGCCTCTCCCACTCCAGACTCTCTCTGTGGAGATTATTACCGAACCCTTTACCGCTGTCTGATGAGCAGTCTCTTAAAGCAAACCGCAAACTTCAAAGGCTAGCCCCAACAAACAAAAGCAAACTTAAAACCGTGACTTTAAAGCAATGGCTCAAACACAGTTGTCTGATGGAATCAAGCAAGATTGAAAACCTAATATATGTTTAGAGGAGATTGGATCAGGCTGAAAATAAACAGCTCTGAAGGACATTATTTCCAATTCCTATTAGGAGAAAGAAGTAGATTGTTCTATGCTGCATTTGGATATATAAAGGATGAGTTGCAGCCATCCATTAATGCTGCTAACCTCAACTTTGTCCAGCACATTAAACATAGATATCTTTAGAGTTGACAATTATCCGTCAACGCTCAGCCAGGAATGAAAAATGTAATGTGTGTGCACGGTTATATATCACACTCTAACAACTGAATACCTCAATGTCAATGGAAGAAAAGCTACCACTGCTTCATTCACAGCACATGTCAAAGCCAGCCACACTCTGTAGATGTAGCTATAGGGGATTTCAATACCTGTATTGTTAGAGGGGAACTATAAGTGAATAATACAGTCCAGCCGGAAGTAATATTTCTATCTTTGACATTTAAGAGGATGAGAAATTGCTGCATTCAGAATAAATCTTGTATTCTAGTTATACTTTTAATCAAAGCTTTTTTGACTAACTGTTTAATACAATGGTTCCCAGCCTGAGGGTTAGGATCCTTTGAAGGGGTGGTCATAAGGTAATTTATTGACCAGGGTATACGAAAAATATTGTTCAAAATAGATCCTTTCTTTCAGACTTATCTGTAATCTTAGCTTTTTCTAGTTAGATTTATCTTTTCAGGAGTTTTTCAAATGTAACAACCTTTAACCAAGCTTTAGGCCTTTAGGAGAAAATCACTTGTTGGTACGAACCACAGATGCTATAGTCGTAGATGGTCGCAATTTTCCAGATTGCTTTGTTTTTACTTGTCCAAAATCCCCAAAATAAACCTAAGCATATCTAATCCAAAATGATTCTTCTGCTACTAAAATTTAGATCCCTTGTTTTCAGAATTTTCTCAAACCAAGATACTCGAAAGGTTTCTGTTATTTAAGTGAAACAATCTGAGAGGTTCGATGGAGAAACTAACTTTTTTATTGAACTGCCAAAAAATATTCAACCTGGGACGAGCAGATACTGCTGAGGTTGCAAATTGAGAAGTTAGACTATAAAATAACAGAAAGTGCCCTTTTCATTTTCTTCTCACATCCTCCTTTTCTGACTTTTCGCTAATCTCTGCTTTTTTTTTCTTGTGTAATAATGAATAGGTGTCCTTCTTCAGGCATCTAAAAGCCACTCAGATGAAACTGTCTGAGAATGTTATAGGTGAAAATCACTGTTTAGTTGAACTGCTATCAACTCATAAACATATTCAACCTTTGAAGAGTGGTCTCAGCAACTACTTTAGTCTATAAAATGCAGAAGATAGTGAAAAATGCCCAAGGTACATTTTGAAATGATTGCTTGTTCTTTCCCATCCCAACGGTCCACATATTGAACAGAAAAATAATCTTATCTCAGAAGCTGTAAAAAGCCCATGTTTGCTTTAAAACATACTTTAAAGCAATTAATTATCTTTTTTTTTTACAGCTCTGAAGATGCTGGGCTCTGAACATTTATTACAAAAAATGGGTAATCTCTCCAGTGTGACAGAGAGCTCATTGTGTGTCGGTTTGGTGCTAACCAGACAGTACCTAATTAGTAGCTAATTATTACCAGTAGTTAATTATCACAGATGCCAGGAAGCCAAAACATAAAAATCACAAGAGAAAAGAGACAGTGACAGAGATAGCTGGCAAAGAGACTGAGAGAGATTATCAAAGGCAGAGAGAGAGAGAGATACACAGTGATCCCCATCATACAGACGAGATGAGAGCCCTCAAGGTCACTGCCACTCTTTGGAAAACAAGTGAAACATGATTAGGGATTAGGGGATGTTTTGGAGCTCTGTTGTTAAAGCAGCCTCCCTGTTGTCCCGTCTACCCATCTGATCCTCTCCCCTTTCTTCTCTCCCCTCTCGCTTTCTCGTTCTCCTTCCCTCTGATTCTTGTCTTTCATGGCTCCTTACCCATGTCTGCATCCCGCCTCGAAACATTTGTCATACCTCACTTTTGAGCGCTTTCTTCCCATCTGCTCTGGGTTTTTCCTTGCCAAATTTCTCCTTCCTTTTCTTCTTCTTTTTTTTCTTTTTCGCCCTCTCCGTCTAACCTCGTCTCGTTGTCTGTGCGTCAGGATAAACTCTCCGAGGAAGTGCAGAAGCAGCACGATGGCCCCGAAGAGAACGGCTCCCCGCCGGCGACTCAAGCGGAGCCAGACATGGGGCTGCTGCCGAACGCTGATGCTGATGCCAGCCAAGCAGAAGAGGACAAAGACAAAACCATGCCCCTTCTGGAGCGCCTCAAGGCCCTGGAGGTAACTACTTCACCACTGTACTTTTATTTTTTCTTTCTACTGACTTTCCTTTTGTTTCCTTCTCTCGACCCACCTTCTCTCTGCTTTGTTCTTCTTCGTTCCTGCATCTTCATCCCCTCTTTCAGCCACCCCTAGCTATCCTTTGTGGCCAGCCTGTCTGCCAGTTGTCAGAGTCCTTGCTCAGTTGTGTCTGAGAGCATGACAGCTCATCAAATTCTCCAGTCTCCTTCGTTTGGAGAGCAAAGTCATCCTATGAGAGCCGCCGCGGTGGCCTCAGGCTGTACTCCAGCTTTGGTTTGTTTTCCTCTGCGCTCAGGGATTTGAGCTGCACTCCGCCACGAGCCCCGAGCAACAGCAGAGCGCAGCCACAGTGATCCACGCTGATTGTTTTTTTGTTTTTTTTCTTTGCTTAAGCCACTGGACACACGTCCTCTCAGATCATCCTTTTAGCAATTAAAGCACTCAGCCATCAGTCTTACCTACTCATTTCTAAGTGGCTTCACATTCTTGATATTGATGTGGTGGAAGGAGTACCTCATCTCAAATCATGTACAAGAAGCTGACTGAAGGAGCTAAAGTACCTGAAACAAGAAAGTGTATTAGAAATAAAGCCTTATTAACTCTTTAAGTGCACACACATAAAGAAAGAAAAAAGTAAAAAGAACAAGAGACCTTAGAATGTGTTCTATCTTCTTATACTAAAGCTTCCCTGATCGAAAATAGACCCTAATTACAGCAAAGTGGCAGTTAATTGCCTGTTGCTCCTCAGCTGTAAGTTATCTCCTGAGACTGGCAGGAAGTATGGTCAACTTGTCCTGGTGATCAATCTAATGAAGCACATTAGCTAAACATTACATTTTAAACGGCTTTATCAAAAGTTATCTGCCATTTTATTCCATTCTGCTGTGCGGGTGATGGATGCACCGCTAGCCAAAGCAACAGGAACAAAGCAGAGGCAATACATCACTGCCCCGCATTGTGCATAAACTCCACTGACACTAAGTAAGCACCGCCCAGCTCTTATTTCTGCAGCTCAACTGATTCACTTGGCAGGCACGCACTGTGGTCTATAACTGGGTCTTAAATGAATAAACCCAGACTTTGGGAGAAATGCCCGTCGGTCATCTTACTTGTTAAGTAATGACAAACATAAATGCTAAAATTACCCATGTGTCCAAAGACTATAATTTACTAAGGTGCCTCTGGCTTAGACTTTGTGGTAAGGTGGTAAACTAGTAGCAGGAAGTCAGTACTTTCATTAGTGATAATTAAATAGGTTGATTATTGCTATCTTGTGGTGTCATTTGAAGTACATGTGATAAAATTGTAGGTTACTACTGCAACAGTAGTTCTAATGTCTGATGTTAAAGCTGCACAAATTCACATTTTGTATCTTCACAATGGATCAAATGACTTTGTACAATGTAAAAATGGCCACTCAGAGTGACAAATGAGAAATATCCCCTTTCTCTACAGACCCCCACTGCCTGTAAAGCATGTTAGCCCCTTTCAGCTCATTGTGTTGGTTTTCTGGCCCCCACACTCCACTCTCAATTTAGATTCCTGGCAGCTTTTTCTTGGAAAAATCTCTCACTGTGCAATACCTGCCCAGAACCAATGGCAGATAAGTGTAGCATTTAGTAGCTAATGAACCAGGCGTTTTTGTTGCTTTTATTCCTCTGCCAAATAAGATAACTGATGCAGCTTTAAAGGATAGCCTAATTACAGTATTTATTTTCTTACATAAATAAATGAGGTTTACTAAATTACTAAAGGATTAGGTTGATTACAAAAATGGTTATCAGCTCCATAGTATAGAATCTATACAGACAGTTACAGTGATTGTAATTTACAGTAACACATTTTTGTTTATCTGTGATGCTAGCATGTTCTGGTATTATAATAACAAAGTGTTACAGGTGGTGTTATACACAGCAGTGAAACCATCCAGATAGGTTTCCATGCTAAAGTATATCAGAATATGATTGCATGGTTTGAATGACTGTAGAATCAATATCTTTATTATTTCTGAATCTTGACTTAGTATTTCAGTCTCAACACTTTTTTAACTATTTCACCTGGTGTTGGAGACGGCGTTTATTCTTGTACATTATACTCACAACTTCCATAAGCTTAAAAATTGCCAGAGCGGCTTAATCCATCACAGTAAACATGGTTATTGCTTTGAAATGAATACATTTGCTGGGCTGACTGTTTGCATCTGAGTATGTGCATTACATTGGTCAGTCTCCCGACAGCAGCAGAAGGAAAGCATCATCTTAAACCTCATAAACTTGTCACATGCATTTCTTTCTATAAAGTGTTCTATAAAGAGAGCAGTTTATTTCAAGGTTTTCCATTTGAAACGACCATAAGCGTGCACTTAGTGAACAATGATAAAGAAAATTTTATTGCAGTTAACAACCGTAAGTCCAAATGACATTGGCGTTCTCATTTCAGCGTTTAAGGGCTTGTGTGTCACCGAACAATAAAGCAGCATTAAAATTGATGTCAGGGGTTGAGGTAACAAAATACCACTTAAGTTGCATCTTGTAACTATGGCCTGGAGAGTAAGATAACACAGAAAAAAAGAGCACTTGTGTGGGTGTAGTGCTGACTGAATCAGCACATATTAAAAAGTGATGCCTTTTAGTTGCAGTTGCGAAAGAAAAAGAGATTTAATTTAGATTTATTTATACATTTCAATTTGTAATATGCTCCATGGGCGAGTTTTAACTATAAACAATGATAAATAAGATGTCAAGGGTTTTCTCAAGTTAAAGATGTCTCCTAAAAATAGAGAAATCCATTCACAACACACCAAAGACACACAAGCTTCCTTTAATCACGTTGGTCATTCATTACATTTGCAAACAGAACCATGTAAGCTTCAAGGCTTTAATTAGTGTTTCTTCCTAGATTGCATAATTGGAATGTTTGGGGTTGTAATTATGTTTCCCATGATTTCATTAAAGGATTGGTAGTTCCTACTAAAGGGCAGAGGGCGAAGGAAGCAAGGCTGACTGACAGCTCCTAATATGCTGCCTGCCTCTGACAAATTGGAAACTCCCAGAGATCAATAGGGCGCCGCCTCATCGCTTGGCAAGTGGAAGAGATATTCTTATTAGGTCCAAACTCCAAATGGCTAGCTGCCGCCCCAAAGTTCAGCCTCATAACTTCCATCCCCTTGACCTTTTTCTCTGTTGTGCTTTTGTAAATTTTTTATCGGCCTTTACGGTTCAGTGTTGACATATGACCTTTGTGAAGCAGGTCTCCTCTTAGCTGCAGCTCGGCTTGATTGCTGCTTCTGTCTCCATCGCTGTTGCATCAAACGTAAAGCAAAGTCAATGCGATGTTGGTGCCCCCTGACGCTGAATGTGTCTGACTGTGTGTGTGTTTCTTTACAGGAGCGGAACTGTGCCTTGGCCTTGGAGAATGAGAGCCAGAGGGAGCAGTACGATCGCTGTCTAGATGAGGTGAGCGTGGACCTTGTTTATCTTGTCTCACTCCAAGGCACATTCAAGGGAGCCGTACAAATCGGCAGATGTTTTACTTACCTTGGAAATTCAGCTTCATATGAATAGAACGAGTAGTGTTGTTGAAAATAAAGTTTTTAGTTTCCTACAAGCTAGCAGTTTACTTGTACTACATCTTGAGGGAGGCAGAGGTGAATCTCTCACTTTAATAAAGAGGATAGCATGTTTCAGATGTGCTACAGTCTGATTTAATGTAAAAAATAAAACTCTTCAACCAGGATGCTAGTTATTTTTCATGCTTTTTAAACATATTTAGCTCTTACCCAGTACAGTGCACCGCTATCACACCTATATTCAGTGGTCAAAACAGCTTATTATTATTTGTAGTCAGTGCTCATTTTGTAATAAATATTCGAGCTGTTAAATTACCGTAACCTGATGTGAACTGGTGTTGCAGAAGCAATGGTTTACATAACAATGGCACTTGTGTGCCCTCTGGTTATTTGTGAGAGCTTGATAAGTGCTGTTCAGGGAGCCACAAACCAACCCAGCTCTTGGCTGTGCCTGCTTACTGAATCACTCCTGGAGGGAGGGAGGGGGGCACTACTACAGGGCGAAGTATGTCCAGCAGGGAGAAGTTGGCCAATTTGTCCTCCAACCAACAGGCTCAGCAGACTGGGCAGATCTGCCGGAGGGCGGGAAAGCCAGGGTGAGAGAGAAAGGGGGAATGAAAGAGGGAAGGATGGAGGGAGGGGATGGGGAAAGGGTGAGGAAGATAATTGTAACTGTGTGATAAATAGGAAAGGGAGGGGGGAATTGTATGATAGAGCTGTACTAGAGTTTGTGTCCTCCATGGATTGTATTTGGAGTAAATTCAGTCCTTGTCTTCTTTCTGCTTCCCTGCTCTCATTAAGATGGCGCAACTCGGCTTTGTTGTGTTTACTTGTTAACTATTTTCCTATGTGGTTGACTTTTGTGGAAGGAGGGCTTGGTAATGATCCTGTTTTGATGATGGAGGCTGTGAGTTCCACTCTAACGACTGCACAGGACAGCAACCAAAGCCTAAAGTTTGCTTTGTAACAGAAGGGATGATTATTTTTTTATGTTAGGCCAGCTGTTTGGCTTGATTTTAGTGTGTGGGGAAGCGCATTTGTAGTTTAATTACTTGTGTCAAAGTCCTACAGTGTCTGCAATCAGATCAAATTATCTGTCCAAGACCAGTAAGTCAGGTTTTGTTTGCTCATTACTCAGCTATTTTACAAGAGGCAGATCTGTAAGTTGCAGTTCTAGGAGCAGGGCTCATTTCACCATATTTACTCCCATCTCTGCTCATTCAATAAACGAGAGTGAATGCACTCAAAGGAGCCGATGTGGCTTCACGCTGTATTAATGAGCAATCAATGAGCAGTAATCGGAGCCGCTTCTCCACCGGTGTTGTGGTCTGAAGTGCGTGTGAGTGTTAGCCACTGTGAGAACAAAGCCCATCTCTGCTTCAGCCTGTCAATACCGCCATTAGGAAGTGAGAGTTAAACATCGTAAAGAGACACCTATATGCACACACACCAGGTACTAGGAGAAATAACTGTAATATATTGTGCCATTGTTTTCACTTAAGCTCATAATAACTCAACTCAAGGGTAAATTGGCCGAGGAAGTGCAGCATTAACAGTGCAAACGCAGCCTACAGGGACCTGTAAGGGTCATACAAGATCAAGAAAACCTTATCACCAAATCAGCCAAAGTACATTCATTGACAACTCGTTTTTCCTCTCTGTCTGTTTAAGGTTGCCAATCAAGTTGTGCAGGCGCTTCTCACCCAGAAGGTTTGTTTCTTATTTTTGTGGAGACCATTTTGCTCCTCAACACATATCCCTTTTAAATAGTCCATCAAAGTTGTGAAATCATGCATGCATTAGGTAAAGGATACATAGACTGAACAATACACACACAAGACATGCATTGTCCTGACTCCTTCCTGTGCTGCTTCTCACCCACAGGATCTGAGAGAGGAATGTCTGAAGCTGCGTACTCGAGTTTTCGACCTCGAGCAGCAGAATCGGGCACTGAGTGTTTTGTTCCAGCAACGGATCAAGCCCGCCTCGGACCTGCTTCTCCAGGTATGCTGCCCACTCAGATATTCACACCTTCAAGCTGTGACTGACTTCAGCCAGTGAGGAGATTCACTTGAGCAACTGGGGAATAGCAGAATTACTGTATGTCAGAAATACAGCCTTTATGAGGCCTAACAGCCAAGGGAGGTGTTTGTGGTATTGGCTAGCACCTTTCTGCATCTTATTACAATTCACATTTCCATGTAGAGAAGCCAGCTTGATAATGCTTTCTCCAATTTCCCCAACCAAATTCATGAAAAACACATTATCTGACACAAAAAAAGAAAGAAATATTTCTAATAATCTGAAAAACTTGGATGAACAAAGCAACTGTATGTTCTTACCAGTCGGCAAGATCGCTTAAAAAAGTAACTGTAAAGGCTAGTCTGAACTTGAAAGAGCCCCTAAATTAAATAGCGGTACCAGACCTATAAGATAGCCCTACAGATGTTGTTATGTTTATCCACAGCATACTGTATATCCAAGACCGAGTTCTTATTTTCATGCATTTTAAGTTGTTTTTCATTTGAGTTGTTATTAAACTGCTCTGGGGTCTCAGCCGGAGAGAGGGGCTGTGAAGTAGACTGTACATACTTTGATTTAGAATACAAAAAAAAAACCTTTTACGTTCATCATTATCAATCTTTTTCCCTGCTCAGAAGCTGTGTTTTGGTCTGTTTTTCTGTTTTGCAGAAAACATAAAGGAAGTACAAGCCTTGTAGCTCAGATCCCTTGGAGTTGCTTTAGTCTTTGTAATGCATCATGGTTCAATCTGAGGTCGCGTATGTGCAGTGTTAATGTTCCTATTTTTATGGTTTCAAGTAAGGATTCACATTTATTCAACTTGCGAAAATGGTTGGAAAGCTTCTAAAAAGGCAAATATTCGCTTAAAATGTCCCCACTTCTTTAGTGTCCTGGTGGCTGGTATCCCCCAAATCAGAATAATGCAGTAGTTTTACACCTCCAATGCAGTTCTGACTCTGAGAAATGTTTGCAGCTCTAGAACTATGATGTGCTACATGAAGGGATGTCTCCTTCACATCCCACAAAAAAACAAGATTTTAACCAGTAAGCATCTAGTCTCTCCTCTGTAACCATTAGACAACGTCCACTGTACTTATATTCTCCACAAACTCTACATTCTTATATGGAGTGGTTGAAAATTGCCTCAGTTCATCTTTTTGGTCCCTTGGAAAACACCAATTTAGTGTAAAATGCATTCCAGCTAGATTTTTAAGATGTAATTATGAGACAGATGGACCTGCCACTCTATGCTTTACCCATCAATTGTCAACAGTGATATAGAGCAATAAGGTCAGTTGGGAAAGTAGGGTTTCACGTAATTGTGCAAATTGCTGCGGGGCTCCTTGCTATCAATACAAAAATAGCAAGCTGCCAAAAGGAGAGAGAGAGGGAAAAGGAGCTGTCAGTCCATCTAGACGAGAAGAGAAGAGGATGAAAAGATAGGAGGCAAGCAAGGGTAGATAAGAAGGGAAGGACAGGAGGGTGAAAATGGAGAGAGATGAGATAGCAGAGAAGCATGGGCACCAAGACGACAAAGAGGCAGACTTGAAAAACTAAGGGCCAAATAAGAAGAGGCAGAAATGGTAGATAAATGGAGTAAAAAAAAAAAAGAGGAAAGAGAAATAATATGGCTTTGGGTGTGTTGTAAAGCTCTCTGTCAGTTCCAGCTACTTTCAGCACCATTATTGGACAGGCAGGAACATTGTCAAGTGAAACTGCAATATAAAAGGCTTGAAGAGGGATATTGATGATACCACTGTGGGGACCAAGAGGTGCAATCTAGCTGGAAATTCGAATTAAGGCCCAGACTCTATGTAATGTGTTTTTCCTTTCATATGATTCAGCTGAAAAGAAATTCAGAAAATATGCCACTACCTTTACACATGTTTTCCCACTGGAATATCATTTTCCTGCCTGCTCATTACTTACTAATGTCATTTTCACCATCAACTGGTGATTCAGTGTAAGAATTAATCATAATGTGATCACACTGCTCCGGATGTTCTGTGCGTCCATTATGAGCTCTCCAATAATGTGTGGGAGAGCTGTTAAAAACATCTATATTTATCTTTGTCATGGGGGACTGGAACTTCCGACAGCATGTAATTTGGAATTTTTTAAACTTTGTTCTATCCATCTATCTGATGTCTTGCTTTCAGTAGCAAATTTAATCTGTGAACTGAATGTGATAAATCTCTGTGGTGAAATCTTTTTTTTTTCACTGTGCAGTTCCACAATACACTAACAAATACACTACTCATCATAAAACCTAAAAATGTCATATTTATTAAAGTAATAGGGAGATAATCAATTCCACTCAACTCTGCCTACCACATCTAAATTGAAACTAAAGCATATTAACAATATAGATGTTCACATAGCATTTATTTATGTATTTATTAATGTAGTTATATCACCATTATATGCCACTTTTTTTCCCCAAACCTACTAACAGTTTTCAGTTTGCACATCCCACTTACTAAACCACCCCAGCAGAATTTCTTATGAAAATAACAAGGGTGACTGTTCATTTCTTTTCTCTCATGGAGCCCCAAGCAGAGGGAGACTTAATCACCCATATGAGTGTACTGTTTCCCATCTAGCTCTGGCCTTTTTGCTTATCAGTAATTAAACGTTCTCTAGTTCCCAGTGGGCATCTTGAGTTTCTCTGATAAAGAACCATAATGCTTTTGATGGTGACTACACCACTTGTGCACCTTCAATGCTTTCAGCTGAATTGGTTTGATTCCAAAAGTTCCAGTTATTCATTTCAGAAAAATCAGACATTTAAAAAACAAAAACAATAAACTGTGATGGTTGTTTTTCTCAAACCATGCACTATTTGCAAGCCAAGGGAAAATAACTGGTGTGCAGCCCCATCCACTTATGCTGCTTATCAAATATGACAGGCAAGAGGCAATTGAGTCGACCATTACTAGGGCAAATGCTCTGTGTTTCCTGAGCAACCTCAGGGCTCCAAGGACAAGGCATGAACGTCACGACCTCATTATTGCTCATGCAATTGTGCAGTGTGTATAGTCAAATGTGCTGGTGCCTTGTCCATCAACAGTTTCTGTGCAAAAATCACAAATTTAAACAAATGATGCCCCTTTTGAAGAATCCTTTTAAAGAAGCCTTTTTTATGAGTCAGATATATAGATCAGGTCATGTTGGTGAGCATCATGTATACACGTGGGTGTGTGTATGGGTTTACGTGTGTGTGTTTCTGTTTAACTGCTTGTCTATCTGCTGTTGTGTGTGTATGTGTGGGTGTGTTGCAGCACCGTTCAACCGATGAGTTTTTGACAGCGGGTGCCAATACTGATATATTTGTTTGGTAGCTGCCTATTGCTGCTATTCTGGGCTGATATTCATTATCTTGAAATATGACCACTGTCAAGTCAAAAACAAGAAAGCACAAAAGCAGGAAGCCTCTACTTTTTCTTCAGTATGACACACAAAACTTCTCCACTGACTTCCAGACTAATGTTTTTATAATGATATTAATATATAGTCTTACAGCATTGATGGGTTTTAACATTTTTGACTTTGATCATGGCCTTGAACCTCAAAAAGTCTGAGAAGAGTGTACACACGGCCTTGTCATCTACCGTTTCCTTCAACTATCTTCCCCCGTGACCCTGTGACACTATTGACTGAATGCTTGATGAGGATGCTGAGGAGGTGAAATCCAGCACCCTACGATAAGATCAGAGCCTCCCGTGACACTTCAGCCACTCCCATCGCATGTGGACAGCAGGGAGGCCCGGCGATGCGGCATCAGAGCTGCACAAATTTCAATTTCATGACTTTGAAACTGTTATGAGAAGCCATCTGGCACTTTTTACTAGTCCAAACTAATAAAACTTAAACAGCACCAATCCAGCTTAATATAGTGTGAGTACATTTTGGGTGCAGTCATTTATGAGATAAAAAAATTTCAAAACATTTTAACAACTCAATTTTGATCTGGAAAAGGCAAAAATGGACAAATCCTCCACAGTTAAACTGCCTTTGAACCAAATCAAAGCAGGGATCCCTGTGCAGGGATGCAAGACTTGATGTTATATAAATCCTAAAAATAGTAAAGAATACTTTTCCTTATTTATGTGTTGAAAAACCATTGACAGTGGGCATCGATCTGTTTCCATGGCACCATTACCACCTAGTCACTGAAGGTGAAAAGTCAGTCTTTGAAAGCTTATTCACAAGCTCTCACTAATACAAAAAGAAGCTTTTCCTTTGGTTTGATGTTTTGCTAAAAGTTGAAGAGAAAAACGTAGGATGGTTGTGTTTTGGCCACAGGCGACATGATGCAGGTTGTTTGTTCTTAAGAGACAAGAAAAGCAGTTAAGTTTTGCTATCATTAGGAGCTGTTTTCTTTTTTTTTTTTTTTACCACCACAATGTTCAGAGGACATCTTTCACAACACACAAAAAGTCAATACAAAAGAATTTCATGGAATGAAATAAAATTGAGGATGAATCTACCAGTTATTATTTTAAGATGTTTATGGCATTTGTGGTTTTCAAAGCTTGGTCTCCATTTGCTGTAGGTGACTTTCACTTTAAAACATGCTATTGTCTTGATGGATATTTTTCTACTGCACGCACACAGCATGATGAGTGCATTTCATTTTAATGGTAGAAGCTAAGACTGAAATATATCAGAGCACAGAAATACACACACGCATATACATATACTCCCTGTGCGAGCATTAGTTTTACCCTTGGCAGGAAATGCAGCCTAAGATCAAGTGTTTTGTTCCAGCATATTTCCAGTTTAAGTTAATTTGAGCACAGGGAACCAAATGTAATTAAGTTCTGAGATTAATACGTGGAAATGTATTTGGTTTTGTATCCTTCCCTCTTAAGCACAAGAGTTAAATAACAGAAGAGACTGCATACTAGTGTATGAATAAAAAAAAATCAAAGGAATCCCTGACTCCCTGATGCAATTATTTCCTATTCACATTAGTTTTTTTCCGGCCGATGACATTAATGACTTTGAGCGAGGAGTATGAATCAGGGCTCTGCGTGGCGCCAGTGGAGGGAATCTGACGGGCACTCGTAAGACCAGCAAAATATTGCTCATCCTCATACTGTACAGCTTTTTGAAATGTTGGAAAACAAATTCCCTTTTTATTTAATAAATTTGTTCTTTTTTGCTGTAAGGGATCAATGAGTGTTTGAAAATATTTTAAGTGTTACATTTTAAATAAGTAGTATATTGACAAGGTGTTTAAAGTTGACATTTAGATTATGTGCTGTACAAAGTATTGATAAACTGCAAAGGAAAAGTCTCCCTACCATTCTGCTGTTGTGTCAGATCAGAGCTCATTTTAAGTTCTTGAAAGTCAAAATTCACTCTAGTGTGTCCTTCATTTTTCCTTTCAGAAACTCCACTCTCGGATCATGGATTTATCTGCGGCAGATTTGCTTCTGGAGCCAGAGAGAAGCAAGGCTTTCTTGCTTTCCAGGAATACAGACTCTCCCTCCAATGTAAGATTAATGGGAAACATGCCAAAGGAAATGGTTTTTTGTTTTGTTTTTTTGTTCAGCCATATGAATTGTCCAGGTAGCATAACCGCATCCCCACCCCTCTCAAGAAATCATTACAGGATATTAAAATACAGAGCTAACTATCTGAAGTCGTGACCCCTCCTCTGCTCTCAGCAGGAAGAGCTGGCAGTATCACTCGGCACTAAGAGGAATAAATCCTTGTCATATTACCAGAAAACCATCGATTGAGACTCGCCGTCAGTAAAACTGACTCCATAGGACACTGTGGTACATTAGTCATCTTATGTATTATGCATTAAGGACTGAAAATGAGTTTTTCTACCCTTTTACCCCTCTGAGAATGCCACCTGATAAACTGTAATGTGTGTTTGAGGGCGAAAGAAAAAAATTAAATAATAAGGGCCAAGTACCACATCTCCTTAAATAGGCTGCGTTAGGTGATACACACGAGTGACACTTAAATGAGATTAGAGAAATATAAATTGTGACATGAATATATATTATTTCCTATCTTGCATAAAATAATATTGTAAAAGATATATACTTTGCATGTCAGGTTCTCTGCAGTGAGATAATAATTGAAGAAACAGCTGCTGTGTTGTGATGACTGCACATGAAAATTTGATTGATATTTCTAAATTAAGTTTGAAAAGCGCAGCAGTACGTTAGCATTTTAGGAAACTTTCCCAGAATATTTGATTGGTCCCTTCAAGTCTTTGTTAAATCTCTTTCATCACAAAATTAACAGTAAGATAGCAATTAGATATGCAACACTACCCAACAACTAACACATCAAATACTTCTGATGCATAGTCACCGAATAAGATAAAGAAACTATACACATTTAGGTTATACTTATGATTAGAAGACTGATTAGAGAAAGAGTACTTAGAGTACTTAACTTATGACTTAGAAGTTGCAGGTATTTGTGATCTTCATTATGTGACAGTTAACCATGCACAGCTAAACTTCTTCACACCTCTCTCCAGAAAACTGTACATAACAGTATAAATGATGCTATTCCACTATAATGTCATGTCTCTTTTCCCTATCTCGAAGGAGGTTCAGTTAAATGGAAAGCCAGGTCTCCCTGTGGCCAAGTGTCTGAGCCAGCTGAGTCTGACAGCGCCAGCACCAGTATACCCACGCAGCAGCTGTAGCAGCAGTGAGTTGTCCCTGTCAAGTGCTTGCAGTGAATTCTCCAGTGGCTCATACACCTGGAATGATGGACGCTCCTGTGGGAAAATGGTAAACTGCCTTATACTGCTTTTATGACACTAAAGATGAGATATTCTTTTTGTCTTTCTTCTGAGACCCCAATCCCTCATCTTAGTCTACCATGTTGAACCGGCTTGTTTCTACAGTAGCACAGAGCAGACAAAACAACCACTAATTACAGATAGGGCCCTTTGCGTTGTTCATGAGCCGCTTTACATGCTTAGAAGGCAAGTGGTATTCTGTTGTTTGCAATCTGCAACACAGTTAGGTGACACTAAATCCTACTTACTGGTCCTTAAAAGAAGAATGTGTGCTAACATAACTCAAGACATATAAAATGTGTGCTTTGTCAGCAGTATAAAATTAAACATGTGGTTGTAGCCTCTATAAGGGCATCATGGCTAACTGTGCTTCTTCATTCACAAATGAAATGTGACTTATTCAAGTTTTTCATTCGGCACACACATACGGTCATGTTTTTCACTTTTAATATTCAAGTCAAAACAGTTTTAAGATGATTATGATTATGAAACAAAATGTACATTGCATATGTCTACTATAATATAATTTGTGTGAGGTTGACCCACTCTTTCTTTTTTCCCTGTAGTCATCTCTGACCTGGGAGAAGAGGCTGAGCTTGGGTTCGTCAGCCCCTAGTAATATATGCGCCGCCCTGGAGGAACAACAGCCCACGAGGCGCAAGGAGAGCCACATACTAGAGGGACTGAGAAAGCTCCAGAGGAGGAAACACAGGAGCTCTTCTGCTTCATCCAAGGTCTCCAAGTCGGGCTACAAAGACTGCATGAACTCCAATGAGGGCATCTACTCTCTGGGTATCAAGAATAGCAGTAAAGGGGTGTCCAAGCCTACCCATGTGGGTAGAACTTTAGCTGTTGGGGGCAAGAAGTTCTCTTATGATTCTGATGATGCTGATGATGAATTGGCACATTCCAGTCGTGGAGATAACATCCCCACCAAGGACAACTGGTTTTACTGTAAGAGGCTCTCCCACAGCATCTCAGACAGTTTGTGTAGCTTGGAGGGGCTACAGGACAGTGGAGGTGGAGGTGACAGTAGCTCACGTCCTGCGGCTATGAAACACCCCTCTGGCTATGACTCAAAAGAGCGTCCTGAGAAACTCATGAGTTTCATTAACAGTTTTCTCCCTGAGGGAGGGCGGACATCAGCTTTTACTAAACCATCCAAGCTGCACTTCAACCCTTCTGACCCAGAGGGTCCTAATCACCTCACTGATGTGGATGATCCAGAGGAACTCAACTCTGAGTCCAGTGACATGCGAATGTCCTTTAGCCAGCCCCCAGAGCAAGCTGAGAGGGACTCCAAGAGACTGTCAAGAGATGCTGCCAAGCTGCTCACACAACAGTGGTTGCGTAGAGACCAGGGACGCACTCAGTCTGCAGATGGGAGGCCCAGGCTTTTCAGCTTAATTAAAGAGCCCAAAGGGGCAAAGTGTACTCATTCTGAGGAGAGCATTTTGGCAATATTTGATGCAGAAGGAGAGCCTATTGAACTTTGTGCTCAGAAGGTCGTAGCAGGTGCTGGGCCTCTAAATGACATTCAAGGTAGCAAGGTAGTTGCCAATTACACAGAACTAGTGCCCCAACAGAAGCCAACAGGGCAAAAATCAGGAAATACAAGAAACTACACTGTTCTTGAATCCCCAGAGAAGCTATCTGAATATCAAATTAGAACTAACAAAACAAGCAATAGCAGGGAGGGCAGTGCAGAGAGGCTGTCAATGCAGTTGACTCCACAGCGGAAACTAATCAAACCACCAAGCAGCCGATCTAATAAAGGTCATTCCATCCCTCCCTTAAATGATTCTGCTGGTCCCAAGTCAAGTGGTTCAAAGATACCCGGTCGTAACAAACCTTCAGGATCTCCACTGAGATTGTCTAAGGGCTCCCTCACAGAACCAAGTAACAGTGGAAACTCAGGACCCTCCGGTCAGGAGAAATCCCCCTCCTCTCCTACAGTCAAAATGTCCAGGTTCATCAAAACACCAGGAACCTGCTCACAGAGCCCAAAGTCTGGAAACTCCAAGCTCTCCAGCCGGCCGGAATGGCATAAGGGCTCCTCCAGTTCCCCACACCTTTCAAGGAGGCACCTGGAGTATGCTGACAATGGTGAACAGCCAACCAGAGACAAACACTGTGAAACCAGCAAAAATAAACTCAGGTCCCCTTCTCCTCCCCCTCCCCCTGGCCGCACCACCTCCTTACTGATCAGACCAAATTACGAAGGGTCGCCTCAAGCACATAAAACATGGGTGGCTCAACCATCCACACCAACCACTGTGAGGGGCCCTCCCCCAAGTTACCACACCTCACTTTTACCAAATATGCAAACTACGCTACCCATCAAGGATAAAGACTGTTTAGACTTAGATGCAGGCTACGGGACTGCACTTGCACCTCAGAAACTGGTTGACAAAACCAGTCAGCACCTTCAAAAGTCCCCCGCCACAACTCAGACACCTACTAAAGGCACTTCCAAGAGGATGACCACGAAAGACTACCTCCCTTCTGCAAACTCAGGGTGTGCTCCAGAAACTGAAAATGCACCTAAAAGCTCAAAGAATGTCCCTCCTCCATACAGTGCCCTCAGAGGGTCCTCACTTCAGAACTCATTTGCAAGTAAAAGAGGATCAAACCATGAAAATGTCCATCTGACAGTGCAGAAGACCTCTATTAGTTTACCTGTATCACTTCAGGACACGCCTCAATGTAAAACAGAACCACAAAATGGTAAAGCTGTAGTCAGCCCACCCAGTTCAGTCTTGATTTCTCCCAACCCAGCAGAAAAAGGTTCAAAGACCCGCATCCCAATGGGGTTTAAAGCATTTTTAAAATCTCCCCCCAGTCATAAAAATAGTCCCTCTATACCAGGCAAGCATGAGAAAGATCATATCAACTCAGTCTCCAAGGAGACTGTGACTTCAAATGCTTCTACCCAGTGTGACAGCTTGCAGCCAGTGTACAGTATTGATTCACCACCCAAGATGTCCCTTACAGAGGGTAAAGGTGAGGTCCCATGTAGGTTACTGGAAGGGGAAGTACACGCTGCTGTGTTGCCAGAGGAGGGGGACGTTTGTGATAAAGGGAAAAGGAGTAGTCAACTTTTCTCTAGATCCATATCAGTTACTACCAAACCTCATCTAAAGCCGGCCTTGGGGATGAATGGGGCCAAAGCCCGTAGCCAGAGTTTTAGCACCAACTACATGGAGAAACCCAACATCAATGCTCTAGATGGACCGGGAAAAATACGAACTCAGATCATCACCAACTCAGGTGAAAGGGGAAACTCTTTGTCAAGACAGAGTTCCTTGGAGGTACCCAGTGTTGGGTTAGCTGAGAGCCCTGTCCATTCCCCCAGGACTAGGCTTAGCCACTATGGGGACATCACAGGGTCATATAGTCACAATGTCCTCCCTGAGAGAACTTCTAACTCAGGCTGCAAAGGTGATGGGTCACAGGGCACAGTGAAGGGGGAGGCAATCACCTCACCTTTGCAAAAAGAGGTGCGTAGCTTACCCATCAGTGATAGGATTGGTTTGAACATTCGTAAGCCAGCGAAAGTTGCCTCTCATCCACAGTTTCAGCCTCCGTCCTCTTGTGTCAACAGTTCAGAAAATCCAGCGCGAGAGACAGGAGGCATAGCAACAACCCCTGATGAACCAGACTTTAGCAGGGAAGTCAAAACCCAGACAGATTCGCCAAACAAAGCCCCAGATATGGAGGAGAAAAAAATCAGCCCAACAGTCTGCACTATTGAAGAGAAGGTCATGATGGGAATCGAAGAGAATCTACAGAAGTGTCAAGAACAGGGGAAGGTCGCTGCAAACGAGGCCAAACAGAAAACGAGCCCCTCTCTGGCAAACTGGTTCGGCCTCCGCAAGAGTAAACTTCCAGCTCTGAGTGGTAAGAAAGCAGACTCCCCTAAGGGAAAAGAGGAAAAGAAAGAGTTGAAGATTGGATCTGTGCTTGGAGGCAAACAGATGAAGTCTGACAAGAAGAAGGACAAGAAGAAAAATGATAACCAGCAGAAAGACAGTCAGGAAGTGCAGAATCTGTCTGAGATGAACAACAAGCTGAGCTCCATCATGGACCATTGCAACAATCAGATGGGTCAGATTGCCAGCCAGATCCAGTGTACAACAGCCTTTATCGGCAAAGACCAGTTTGTGAAAGAGCTTCTTGGCAGGTGGGTGAAACAACATCTTTGTCATCAAGAATGAATTATCTTTAATTGATCGGATGCTATGCTGATTACGTCCTGTCACTGAGCCATCTTAGAGTTGTCTTTCTATCAAGTGAATCGACACTAAAACAAATTGCTTGTTCTATTAAATTAAACATGAGCCATCATTGCCTTAAACATGTTTGTTCAGAGAAACTGATAAATAAATGGCACAAACAGCAGCTGTCTGTTTGAGTTATGACTCCATTCCAGTGAGCATCCAGACACATAGACAGCACACTCAAGGTAAAGAATCTTTAAGGCAGGAAAGCTCCACATTTCATACCTCACACTTCGTTGATTTGCCACTTCAAATCACAGCTGACAGATTTTTATCCAGAGTAACTGCAAACAATCACTTGGGAGGGAGCACTTCATAAAGGTTGTTAAGCATTTGATGGGATTTCTGTGTGTGTATTTCTGTGCATGTACACATTCGTTTGCTTGTGCATTCGTGAAGCGAAAAAGCAGGTCAATGCAATTTATCATCAGGCTCACTTTCTACCGAGCAGGTTGATAAAGGAAGAGCTCGGCACACAGACGTAAAAACAGATCAAATCTTGTTTCCTCGCAGGAATGCTGTGAAGGGCAACTCTGTGGCTGCATCGCCGCCTGGGATCTCCACACCCAAGAAACACAGTGAAATGAAGGGAGATATAGAGATCTGTCCAGATACTGCTGTAAGTGAGCAAACATGCCACCATAGTAGAACTTCACTGACTTTATAACAGCGAGCTGTGTCGAGCTCTGCTTGTTTAGACAGGCTGTTGGCACACACGCATACATGCACGTTCCCACAGGTTTTCACACTTCTGCATGTTCACAAACACATCCACAAGCCCGCCGCCTCTTCAGCATCATATCCCCTGAAGGCTCGCTATTGATTCACATTGTGTTCTGACTCAGCCTACAATTCATCGCCTACTTTTTCATTATCCCAGGCCGATGTTGTTGTTGTTTCCACAAGGCTGAAGATTTTTAAACTGTATCCACACAGAGACAGCCATCAGGCCATGCATGTAATACAAACTTAAATTAGGCTCCTCTCAGCTGCTCCATTTTTTTAAATCATATCAGCGCACTTTGAAAGCAAAAGTCAGAAATTCTGACCTTGTGGATTTATTCTTTATTATCTGTCAGTCAAAAAGACGAAAAAATGATGGAGAGGCTGAGTGCTTTAGAGAGCTAAATGGAGGAAGAGAGTTACAAAAAGAGAGTCTCACTGCATAATGTAGGAAATTTAATCCAGATGATGTTGAATTTTGATAATATGGAGGAGCCCCTTATCACAGGCACTCAGTTTGACAAAGGGGCCATTTAATACCATCCAGCAAGCTTTCTGTCTATCTTCTCCCCACAGAAATACAACAAAAGAGGGACACTTTATGACCTAAAAGCTCCTGCTCTTGAACCACCCTAAAACCCAATTAAAATAAAGCAAGAAAGTATGATAGTTGCCTTACTTTTTTTCATAAGTCATAAAATATATGAATCTGTAGCCACTATAACTGATCCTTCTCATTACCTCATGTTATATAATCTAACAACTTATACAAAGAATGGCACATTTGGACAGCATTGTATATTTTATGTATTATGGTTTTGTATCACCAATATTCACTGTTTGTTAATGTCGTAGACCCTTATAATGACTCAGAAGATCAACCTGAGGGCTGAAAATGATGAGGGACGCATCACAGACACAGCTTGCCAAGACCCCATGATAGGTAAGCATATGTATTACTGTTGGTCTTAAAGGGGCATTTCACCAAAAACAGCTAAATCCAAACAAAATATATGACTGTTTTCAAGCTAATAATGCTTTACTGTAATTTTTTTATCAGGTTTTTTCAAATATTTTACCAAAATAAATCCCATTTCCTTTTTTTTTTTTTTTTTTTACGAACTTTCCTTTTTCTTTTCTTTTCACTTTCACTGTGCCAAAAGTTCATGTTGTCTGTTTTGAGCCACTGAGTTTCATATTTGCCAGTGTTTACCTCAGCCAGTACAGTTTTTTCAAGTAGCTTACAAAAAGCTGTCACTAACCATCACAAATCAACCAGTGCAACAGAGCATTAACACATTTTACAGTTGTGATTTCCTGATGTGATTGACAACTCAATTCCTTCGCCAACTAATTCTCCTCACTGCCAGACTTGCCATTACTGTGGGGAAATAGCAGCGGCTGTGAACAACATGTTGACGGTCTAGTCAGGTGATTGATGTGCAACTGGGTGATATTTTACAATGCCTGAGCAGCTAAGGAAGTGAAAAAATATATGCATCAAACTGTTTTCGAGACGGGATGATTGTTATCATTGCAGTGCGACAAACTTACATTGTAGAAAGTAATTCAGCGTAGGGAAGGAGAGGGTGTAACTACTGCTGAATGGAGTGCAGCATGTTTGTCACTCAGTTGTCACTCAGTGGGATATTTGAGAAATTGCCTCAGTGATCCATCTCAAAGGTCGTAATGACTTATCTCCTGTAATACAGCACCATATCCAGTGTGAATTTAGATTAGCTGGAGTGGGGTCCTTTTATAATAACTTGGGCCCACACTCTATGGAAGGAAGTGCTAGTTTTTTTAAACCGGACGTCCGGAAGCAAACAACATGGAACATCCCATTTGTTTTAAAATTGATTAAAAACTGTTAATTTCAAGCTGCTATAGTTAATATATATATGTATATATATGTATATATATATATATATATATATATATATATATTTATATAATATATATACACACATGTAAAAGAGGTTACTCATAGAAGTGAAGCCACAGAGTTATGACCTGTTCCTTTCAATAGACAAGGCTTTATATAAATTCTAAGCTCATTGTTTGGTTTTCCAGCTTTCAATTTTAGTTCACTCTCACTGCTGTCATGTCATTTTTACTGAAAAAGCTGTAAAAAGTTTGCAACTAGTTAATGGACTATATCATTACTCAGCTTATTGTTAATAACTAGCTGTAAATGTTGGTTATTGTGCTGTGGAGTTGCTTCATAGTTGTTTATGTCCAAAATATACACACGGTGAAAATTGTGAAAAATGGAAATGGACTTCACAACAGCCAGTAATTATATATGAATAAACTCTACGTATTTTGGCAAGGCTAAGTTTTGGTGGAAATAATCTCTATAGAACCAGAAATGCTTTCAACTTCACTCATTTTTGTAGTTGAGAAGATTTAGCTCAGAAGTAACTAATCAAAACATTTCAAGAAATAGTTTTGGCTGTGTGCCGATTTCCACAGAGTGTTTAAATGAGCAGCGGCGCCAAAAATAAAATGCTTAATTGTTTTTTGTGTCCTGATTAACATGCAGCCTTTTTCATTTTCTGCCAGCTAAGCACTTTCAGACAGTATGAATTAAATATTTTATAAAGGTTTCAGCTGCAGCTGCTTGTTGTTCCTCAGCGCTGCTTTAATGTCACGTTTCTCCAAAGTGCAGCATTCACAGGCCTAATGCCAGAAAAACACATCAATCATATAAATAGTTTACATCCAGCCAGTTTATGATCCCAGCAGCTTGAGCAAAATCCATTGCTCAAGTTATGAATGTGAAGCTCACTCTACACTGGTCAGTTGTTGTATATTAGAAGAACTTCCCTTGAGGCAGTATTTTTTCTTGTAAAGGGACAATAAATAACATTTGGACTGGCCCAGCACAGAATGACCCTAATATATCTGCAAGGGTTTGATGGCATGGGTGATCAATACCAATGATTTGGCAATTACTTCACCAGGTGCTGATGTTTCTGGCTTTCAAAACTTATTTTCTAGCCTTGTCTCTGTTTTGGGAAAAAAATACATAATCGCAACATTTTGCAGCAGATCCTGCTGCTGGATCTTTACTCTAATGACCTAGGATTCTCATTGCTACTGTGGAAATGTGACTTTACAATTTCTGCCAATTGTCATTGCCTTTTCATCTGATGGCCGACACAGAAATATCTCCCTTTGACACCTCCTCAATGCATAAAGCCCATTTCGCACTGTGGAGGTATAAAAAAAACTGCTTTCTCCCCTCAAACCCTGGAGGTTGTATACAGAAGTGATAGGGAGCTCATGAAAAACTAGATTATGTCCAGTTGTTGTTGCCTCTGGGTAGAATTACTGTGGACCTTGTTATGGTTTGGTTATGGAGGGCATTTTGAACTGCCAGGCTTGGCATTCAATTATACAACGGTGTAATCTATGGCTCTCTGCCTTTCTTATTCTCATACACACAAATAAGCATTTATGTGTGTAATTCTTTGTTTGTATAGCAACTACATCGAGAATTTTTGTTTTTACTTTTTATCCTTCCGCAGCAAATGTCCTAAAGTGACTCACAGCAGATACACGTACAAGTAACAGGCCATCTGTCCTTGCACATCCAAACACTGAGGATTAATTTTCACAGGTTCTCTGTGCACACTATGAATGTCAGAAGCAAGTAAGACAAAAACTAAAAGTACACGTAAACAAGAACATCAGAGTTTTTTTTTTTTGTCAAGAACTCTTGAACTCTTGAATTCTTCCTTAAATTCCCTTATTTGTGAATTTATTGACAATATTTTGACATTTAGAGGAGAATGCAGTTGTTCCTTAAGTGCATTACTAATGGCACCTAGAGAAAATGCTATCCAAAGAGAAAATGGATCAGTAGTTTTAGTTTCATACCCAAGAGTAAATGTTCTTAGGATTAAAGTAAGTGTGCCCCTTACTCTTCTCACATAGTGTTTTGAAACTCAACTGTAATGCCTAACAGTATCAGGAGAAAACTTTTATTCATCGAAGGAAATGCTCATGAGTAGACCGTGTTTGTGCTTCTGCATCCCATTGAGACGAGGCTGTACAGTTGAGAAGCCGAGCCTGTCAATATCGATGCAGCTCTACAAAATAGGGAAAAAAATAACAAGGCAGAGTTTTCTCTTACCGGCGTTTGGAGAGACAGAAATAATGGCTGCAGAGGGTTCATCCTCTCTAAGGCAAGCAGTGGAAGATATAATGTAATGGCACTGAGTTTCAACCTTAGTTTGTCCACAGCAACCCAGCAAAAATTATAAATTTTATCTCAGCAAAAAGTTGCAATCAACACATAATTAGTGAAGCCAATGTAACTGTTGCCCATTAGTGTTCACAGTTACAAGGACCTGGGCTGAGCTTCATGGCCGTCCATCTGTTCCAGTCTGAGTGAAGGCTCTGCAAACTGTGGCTCCTAAACAACGTCCATCTGTTGCTACTTGCCATCATTGCTTCTGATTACAACGCAGCGTGCACTCTGATGAATCCAAGGCACGTGTCCTTGGGTTGTAGCTCAGTTGTGCGTTTTATTCAGAATTGCTGGCAGCAGGTGCTTTCTTGTGTCATATATATAGTATAGGCACATCTGTTGCTTCTGTGATTTCTACAAATGCTTCTAACAAGAGTGTCTGATAGGAACATTAGGCTAAGGTGCATTCGAATGGAGTCGCCACCCGCTATTCATTGGAATCCTAATCATTTTTCTTCCTCAAACACAGCTATATCAAATTAAAATGCTGTCTTTTCTCTCTTTTCCTACTGGCTACGTGTTACTGAACCTGCCACAGATGCCCTCTTTACTCACAACCCTTTCCCTTGCATGTGAATCCAAGCCCTCGTTTCTTTTCCTTGATTGTTATTCCCTGCTTTTCCCAGACGTCACACTCCTCTCCCTGTCACTCTAGGCTCCGGCTGTCAGATGAGAACCCTGGACAGCGGGATCGGCACCTTCCCTCTTCCTGATTCCGTCACCCGGGCCAGCGGTCGCCACATCCCTAAATCTGAATCCAGCCCTGATGGGGTGACCGCCGGCTCCTCTGAGCTAGATCGGGAGCCTCTCTCCTCTCACCCAGACCCTGATGTGAAAGTGCCTTCCCTCCCAAAAACCTGCCTGCATACCCCTACCAGCATTGGTCACTCCCTGTCTGACCCCAGCATGACCTGCAGCAACAACGCACAAGACACCCAGAGCCGCCTGCCCAAATTAGCAACTTCAGGTAAGTCAAGACTTTGTGTCAATTAGGAAATGATAATTTCATAAAAAGCTGCTCAGCTAGCTCGGATGCCTGGCTCTGTGACTCCAATGTGCTTTTAATTGGTGCTACAGGAAATACTGATATTCATTAGTGCCTTGTCCTGTACCGCTAGTTTAATTTTACTAACTTGAAGATCATCATTGTTTGCTGGTTATGACACCACACGGCAAAAGAACAACAATGCCTTTCTTCTCTAATTGGTTTTCTCAATCAGGGCCGAAGAGGTAGACAAATTGAAATGCGTGTCTGTAAAAGCTTCTATTATCATGCTGGATTGGCACAGTGCCAAGCCTTGAAAGCCTTAGACAGTTTCTTTTACCTTTCAGAAGGTTAGTGAAATATTAAGCGTCACTGTACTTTATGTTTCTTTATATTTTCCACCAGAGCGTTCAAGGGCTCCAGACGAGCTGACAAGAGGAAGATGTTTGGTTTATTAGACTCTGATTAAAAGAAGTAGAACCTTGTTTGTTCAGCTAATTCTGAAGCTAATGCATCAACACTAACATCAGCTGAAATGACAAAGGAGCCTTTGTCATTATAGCAACTCATACACTCCCATGCCCTGAGGAAGACTAACAAATACAATTAGACAAGCATGTCAGCACAGCCATAGATCATAAAGCACCGTCTGCCTCCGTGTTCAGTTTGATCCACAACAGAAAGGTGGTGGGTAGGATGCAATCAGATGGCTGATTAAAGCTACGATAACACACAGGGATGAGTGATCACACCCAGGGATTTATGCTTACAGGACATTAGCCTGCATCTATTTCACCTCAGTGCTGCGGTGGCACTGCAGAGGCTGCAATTTGAGTCACAGAGAGCGGCTCCTGTTGAGCCTAAACATATTCTGTGCATCTTTATCACATGTTTCACCCACCCTTCTATCCATTCTTCAATCATCACTAAGAATCACAAAGCCTAAAGATGCCAGAAAGGGAGCGGCGTCTGTCCTACCTCATAGGTGAGAGGAAGACGGTGACAGGACTTTTACGATCTCTATGCAGGAGCGTCGGCCAGAAGCAGCCTTTTATTGTAATGCAGCTGAATGTTAAAAGAGACAATTAAATTGGCGTCTGCCCGAGACAGCAGCGATAATAAAGCAGCAGCGCTTCGTCTTTCATGGGCCGACAGCTGAAAGCTGTTATATCTGAGTTGCCAGGAGTCACGGCTGAGAACAATGGAAGGATGGACAGCATTAATGTTTGATATCTCAGATATTGTGCAGCTTCTTTCATATAAATGGAGGCGAACCGATGTGTAGGCAGTTGGATGGGTTTTGGAAGAATGTGTGAGATGTGCTCATCCTCTGTTGTCTGTGTTGTTTGTGGTGAAAACAAGACAGTTTTGTTTCTGTTGTTTACTTTACAACTCATTTCTCTTTTGCCTCTTTTGATTTGTAGATGTAATCAGGACAAAGAGGTTGAGTCTTGGTGCCCCACGCAGCAACATCTCCACAGAGGACAAAGAGAAAGAAACAGAGAGGAAGATGAAGACCAAGGACCATGATATGCCCGGAGTAAGGCACTTACATTACAATATGCACACTGTATGCATACTTTATTTCTGTCTATACTATACACTGTTATCTGGTTGGGGAAAAAAGCACCATCCCAACAAATTTTGCGCAATGCTGCATTTAAAGATTTTTGTTCTTTACATTATTTATTCTCTATACTGCATACAGTAATAGTGCTAGTGTGAGTCTTTAAAAACTCATCATGTCTATATTTTAAAAGGCTTCTTTAACTATGAACAGGAAAGAGCCCTAAAAGTATGCACGTATTCTGGGAGCAGCAGCGACACCGAGACGGAACCCGAGGGAACCCGAAGCACATTGGGCTCACCGCAGAGGACCCTGATCAACAGAGCTAAGAAGAGTGACTCAGGTCTGGATGAAATGCTTAGACACCAAGTGATTTATGAAGTTCCTCCTGTCATTTTCAATCACCTGTAAATCTATTCCTTTCTGTTATTTTTTCTTATTCTAACAAATCCCTCTGTCCACAGTCGACCAGAACGAGGAGACCCTGAAGAGAAGCAGTGTGGAGAAGTCCTTGTCAATCATGGACTACTACCAACACGATGTGTTTTCACATCTGGAGAAGGACAGCAGGAGGATTTCCCAGTACAACTTGTTGCACAAAGAGTCATCCCTCGATGGCAAAGCAGGAGACAGACTCAGCGTGAGTATTAAAACAGCTCACCATTCACAGCTGATTGCTTTCACTCATAAAATACGCTTTACAGGCGCGCTGCTGATTCCTATCAAGCATTTTATTGCTTATTATACCCTTGTGATATCCAGGAAGCTGCGTAGGCAGTGATATTTCCTGAATTACTCACTTTTTTGAGGACACTTATTTAGGTGTATAACATGTGCTGCTACTTGGTGTTAGAGGTTCTTGTTGACTGTAAGTAAGAGGGTATTTTTATGCGCTATATATAAGTTTTTGGTATTTTGTACTGACTTATTGATCATTTTTCCGCAGTATACCATTTAAAGCAGATAATGAGGTGTGACCCGTGTTTATTGTAATAAATCAATTTCCTCATTTCATGGAGCCCAATGGAGGCAGTTTAAAGGGATGAAAAGCCAGGCAGCTCCCTGGTGTAGATGTATGCAACTTTATACAGTGTGAAAAGAATGTGTGTGAGGTGAGAGAGAGAGATACACATTGCCACGGGCTTTGCATAATTTTTCTTTCCTCGGAGCAGAGGCATGAAGATGAATTGAATTTTTACCATTCCTGCTTGTCATAGATTTTGGCAAGGAGACTTTTCAGATGGGCAGAGCGAGTTCGTGTTGAGTTTCAATGTCAACTTTAACTTTGAGTCTTCCTGAGTCACAAACAAATTTGCTAAACTCCCGAATTTTTTTTTCTTTTCCACCGCTGGAATTGTGTGCAGATTTTCATAGAAAAAGACGCCTAATTGCTTTCGATCGCCTCGCCCTCTTGTGTCAGCGGGTATTTGCCTATTAGTATTTAACACCACTGAATGACAAATGAGGACCAGAGACCATGAAATGGCCTCCAGTGTGCGCAGCCCAGCTCTGTGGGACAGCCAAATTCTCCTCTCTTACACCGCTGCCACCCCAACAACCACACTGACATAAAAATCCATATTTTGAAAAAAAAAAAAAAAAAAAAGGATCTGACTCAACACAAGCTCAGAAAACAATCGTGTATGAGAGGGTTGAAGAAAATCTGAATTTATTGAGTTAGTTTTTTATTTCTTGACCTTTGGTGTCCTGGAACTCCACATCATGATCAGATATAGACTATTTGAATGCATTTACACCCATAAATTAGAATAATTATGCAGAATTTCTTGGTGGAGCTGGAATACACTGCTCCAGCTTTCATTAGCACCATTACACATTAAAATGTTGTTTTATAGGACTGTAGCAAGTACAGCCTTCTTCTTAATCACTCTGCATGTGTAAAATGGCTTATGTGCCACCATTATCTTAAATTATCTACAAGTAAATGACAAATGTGGCTGGCTATTTGGTGCTAGAGAGACCGGGGTGATTCAGAAAGTAAACAGCACTGCTAAAGTGTCCTTGACAACACATGAGCAAGACTGAATCCCTCTATGCTCCAAGGGTTGTATTCTTTAGCTGACTCTACAATATGACCTCCCGAAGCAAAAGGAGAGTTTCAATCACATATTCTATTATTGTATGAGGCAGTCTCTCCTCTTAACAAAGCAAAGTTGAGGTCTTACACTTGAACTAGAAGCGGGACTTGCATGAAAATAGAGATTTTTCTTGATTCTGATCCGAATCCCAGCAGAGAGGCAGGACATTCGATGTGCAACCAAGCTGCAAGCATGACTCCATTATCTGATATGGAAGAGACAACACACAAGCAACAATAGCTCTGTTTGTCTCACCCTCCAAACTGTCGGTCCTTTAATTGGATGCGGTAGGCTACGTTTCCGAGGGTAGTGGGGTAGCATATAGTCCTTACAGGGACTAAACCAAAAAATGAGAGGTCAAGAGTTGAACTCTCAAATCAGCCTGACATCATGTCCTGTTCTGTCAAAACATTAGCCTGTGCTGCCAGTGGTGGAAAGTACATTTACTCAAACACTGCGCTTACTGTTGTTACAGTATTGAGGTATTTATACTTTACTTGAGAACTTGGATTTAATGATACTTTTGCTCAACTACAGCAACATATTATATATTGAAAAAACATAGAAGTAGCCCCAACTTAACCAGCTGCAATTCTGCAATTTTGCCTATATGATAATCCATCAGTAAAAATACTCAAAATATACTCTAAATAAATAAAAGATACTTATACTAAAAGTTAATGAAGGCACAAAACTGGACATTGGATTTTTGCAAAAACATCTCGAGTCTTGAGCTTCTTTTATCTCCAAAGAAAATAAGCTTACTTCAAGAATGTTTTATAGACGAGTGTCTGTATCTTAAATCAAGAAAGAATAGGGGAGGTTACTGCTGGAGAGTCAAGAACAATTATGTAACTTGACTTGAGTGCTTTAAATGTCCCTATGCATGACTTTTTTGCCATTTCTAAGAAAATAAGACTTTGAATACTGAGGAAAAATACTTTTTGCAGTGAAAATGCAATTAATACAAGAAGTGATTTTTCCATTTCTGTGTTGGAAACAGTTTTCATTCTAAATCAAATTTTGACAATAACCTTATTCCTAAGCTGTGCATAGCAGCCATAATGATGGATGACTGCTGTTGAACCCATTTACCCTACATTATTCTTTTGAAAAAGACAATCCATCGGCGTGTCATCACCTCTTCACCCCTCTCAGTGCACGTCCCTACCTGTGCAGCCGCTTCCCTTTTGTCATGGCTTTAGACTCGGTAGACATTGTCATTGGAAGCAGTTTGGGGAAGTTTGGTCGCTGGTAGCGGGCCAGTGTCAGAGCCCGGTGATTTAAGCGCCTTTAATAACCTTTCACAAACACTCAGGAGAGTGATGTAAAGCTCAGCGGCTCCCATCAGAGCCCTCACAGCCCACGCTGGCCTCCCATTCATCATCCTGACAGCACCTGACAGCCCTGCTAACGGCGGCCCCCGCCCCCTTCTCCTTCTATCCTCTCTTCCTCCAAGTCTCTGTTTCTCCCACATGTCTTTCCTCTTCTTCCTTTCAGTTTTGCCTCTCTCTATTTCCATCTCTCCTGTACAACTCTCTTTGTCTGCTCTTCTCTGTTCACTTCTCCCGCTTTTGTTCTAAACACTTTTCCCCTGTCCTTCCGTTTGTTTGTTATTCCCTTGAATTCCATTCCCAAACTAACTTTTTCATTCCTTTCCTGCTTACTCACTCTTTTCTTGTTCCTATTTCCATTCTTTTCCGCATTTGGGAGACAGAAATTGCTACAGGAAAATAATATCAGAACTTGTGCAAAGGGGTAGCATCGGTGAAAGGGATTCCTGGGGTTTATGTGACCCGGGAACAAATCAGCTTGCACAGCATCACCCCGAGTATGGAACAACTTGTTACCTTGAGCAATGACGTTACCTTGAGCAATGATTACATGGAAAAAGAGAGGGAACATTTCAGTTGACATGTAATTTGAAATAGGGCTGCTGGATAAACAAAACTATATCAGTGTACAAATAAATATCAGCAGCCAGAATATGCACTCCCCTTGACTTGCTGTCAGACTGATAGCATTGCTAGCCAGCGCAATACAGGAGTGAAAAAGGAACCAGAAATACCTGCCATCAAATTATTCCTACAGCGATGACGGCGAAGACAACACATATTCTGAGACATATTTAATGTGCGTGTTTCTTCACTGTTTTTTTTTTTCACCCATTGTGAAGTCAATTCATAATCAGTCTCGGACTATAGCATGGACACAATGTGAATGACTTGTCTTGCAATTGAGATTCAGATGGTACAGCTACATGCCACACTTCTGGCAACAGCGCCACTCAGCAACACGGCAGCAGTGAGCTTTCCAATGACCTTCCTTCCTCCTAACTTGATGGGGACCAAAGCAAACTTCGGATGTGTTGCCTCCAGTGGACACAAAACATCTAGTTGTCACAACAATGGGATTTCACTGGTCATAGAACACACTGTAATCTGTATGCACATTTATTGAAATTTGCCACAAATAGTGTAGATGAAGTTTCACCAGTTAAACACTTTTAAGGTGAAGCAGCAGCAGTAGGAAATGCCCTGTTTAGCCGTAGCTTGGCAGCTCTGACACAGTGTAAAGGCAGTGAGGCCATTATTAATTAGATGGTGGACGACATGCACCCATCATTTCCTGTGAATCCCCCATGTTTAGGTAGGCTGAATCCAGCAGGGGGGTGGCGACTCACCCACTACCAATAAAAACCACTAAAAATAAAGAGGCAATTACATGACTCAGTGTAAACACAATGAATGGCAGACCATAAACAGTATCAAATTTTTTTTTTTTTAAAAAGTCCAATATTTTATCATCTCTATGAGTCAAAAACTTCAAGGTAGACAGAGAAAAATACAGAACAGCAGGGGGAAAGGAGAAATTATGTCTTTCTCAAGTCACAATAAAAGACCCTTTCAAGAAGCTTTTGTAGTGAGCAGGTCTAGTGAATTCGAGTTTAGACATCCCATTACTGACATGTGATGCAGAACCAATTGCCGATTTGGCCCCTCGTGTTTTCAGGTGGGAAGCTTTCACTGAGATGTCTGCCTGCAGCCTCAGTTATGTGTGCAGCTATAATTTTGGCTGCACCCGCAGGTGGTACAGGGGACCTGCATCGGGAAGGTTCGATCTGGTGGTAATTGCGTTCCTCCAAAATCAAATCCAATCAGCGATAAGACAGCCATTCCCTTTCTTTCTTCTTGGTTCCGACCAAAATGAGATATATAGGGGGGGTCTGGCTAAGACAGTCAGGGCCTAAAGACTGTTCTTCACTGTCACAGAGCTCGGGTAATCACTGCTCCCCATCACGTCATGCACTCGTTCGTATCCCGAGGCCATAAAACGCCAATTTTCTATAATGTGATATAGAAATATTTATGTTATGAACAGTGGTGTGTGGGTGTTTAAGTAAAATTCAGCAAATCTAATCTGCATTCAACACCTGTGCTTAATTTTGGCTCAACCTTCCCACCTGCAAAAACCTACTCAACATTTTATATCATACCAGCCAGACGTCACCTTTGGGCACATTTTCTTTCAACTTTTCTTTTTATTCTGTCTTTCCAAATTTATTGTGATGGTGCCTGGTCACAGGTCACAAAAGTGCACGCTAATGAGGTTTGGGATTATAGAGTGGACGGTTGATTCTGGATCCAAATACGTCATCCCAGTATGAAATGATACATTTTTTGTTTCGTTTTTTTCTTTTATGCTTGCACACAAATCTACATACATTTACATTTATTTGACAGTACTTCGCATTGACCTCAAAGATAGACAAAGATTCAGATTTGCTCTGACAGAAGGCTGAGTAAACCAGAATTCTATGAACTTACTATACATGTTGAGAAAGGAGACAAAATGTTCCTTTCCCCCAGATTTCCTAGCTCTTATTGTACAGTACCAATCATTCTCATACTTGGCTATCTGAGCTGAGTCATGCTGGTTTCATTCCAGCTGCCCAAATCACAGAAGTGTTTACACCTGGGTTGGCAGGTGAATGCAATTAACAAGCTGGTAGGAGAGGAAACCAACAAGGCTTCATGCCCATGAGGAACAGCACTGAGAACAACAATCACTATTGTTTTTACTCTCCACCTACACATACAGCTGAATGTAAAAACTTCATGCTGCCTTTGTTGAACTTGTCAGAAAGCATTATGGAAAATGCAGGAAAGTAGCAGGTGAGGGAATATTTTTGATTACAACACAGTTTCTGGAATGAACCAAACCAGACGGAGAATATTGCATATCTGAGGGTGGATTTTTTTTTAATGAATCAATACTACTATTTCGTTACCATGGGGAAGTAGCTGTACTACAGTCTACTGTATTTTTGCTGATATAGCTGAGACCTGGATTGATGCAAGTGATTAGAAATATATTTGTATTATTATGGAAGAGAAAAAGAAGGTAAATACATTTTTCTTCTGCAACAGTTGTAGACAAGTAAGATACATGTGATGATAAATGCAAGCTATGCAACTTTAGATTGATATTGTATTCTAATTAATAGAAATTTTCCTAAACAAAGTTGTTGTGAGTGGTCCTCGAGGTAGGATATTATACAGATGATAGATTATTGTACTGCAACATATATAGCATGATTGTTTAAAGAAACGTGCCTATAGTATTTGTCCTGATGAAGGTTTAAGGCTTGTATGTACCCAAATGTGCAGAGCCTTCCTCTAAATATTGCGTTTGGTCTTTTGACACGTTAAAAACGCCTGTGGGATGTTTTTGCCACTTTAACAGCACTCTAGATTATATTCCTGATGCGTCCACACTTCGTGTGTGGAGTAGTTCTGGGTTTACGTCTGAGGGTAGATACACCTTGCAGCAAAATACTAAATGATCCAGGTTTGGAGCATCCCTGGAGGTTGCCTGCACCCTCCAGCTCTGTGTACTTACCCATGCAAAAATACCTATGTAGATAACTGCTCTCACAGGCTGGAATTGCTGAAGGAACATAATGCTACCCTGAGAATTTTGTTTACAGCCTCTGAAGAGGGCTTTTCATGCTGATTGGGACAGTAACCATCTCCCTAAAGTGCCTTTTGAGACATATAGTAGAGATCACGAAGAATACGCAAATAATTGGCACATCATAAACAACAGACTATTTTTAGCTGTATGTGTTGTTTTGTTTTCCTCTGTAGAGAGGGTTTGACTCATAGGTCATTAGCAGTGATGTTGCTTAGAGTCATGTGACAATGAATTAAAGCATAAAGTACCAAAGAAGCAGCTGGTTAATTCCAGCTTTTTTTTTTTTTTTTTTTTTACTTTTGCTGTTGAGTGTAATTGCTGCTGAGTTTCCTAAAGGCGTGTACCCTTAAAAGGTCAATGGGCTCAGATGTGAAGACACGATCCGATCCAGTGATAAGACCTATAGTAATAGCATTATTCAATTCTAATATCTTCTCAGCTGTCACCCTAATCATTAGAGTATTCAGGATGAAACTACTGCTAATTGAAGCAGTGTTAACAGATAGCAGCTTTAGATGTAGTATTTCCCCTGAGTAACATATTTCCAACTATGCTAATTTGTAAAGCAGACGGCCACTGGCTGTACAAAAAATAATACATCATCATACACAGTTAATATAACGGGGAGAGTGGGTGAGCCCAGATGCCCAGAGATGCATGCCTGCCAACACCCAAGACATACATTTGGTCCTTGAGCGTGATAAAAATCTCAATATAGATCACTGTCATGCTCTCAAGCGGCGTGAGTCTTATTGCTCTGCAGCACAACACTTCAAACGAGATGAGTTGCATGGTGCAATGTTCGACTTCTGTGCTTGTGTATCTTTCAGAACAACAGAAGTGAGTGTGGAGTTATATAGTCATGAACTTGGGACTGGACAAGGCAACTATTTACAGTGTGGCATACATTCACAGAGTCAAGATACAGCAAATCATACTTCTTTCCCATAAATTAACATAGTTTGTGCTCTTTATTAATATGTGTTCCCTTTTTTTTTTCTTTGCAGAAGGAGATCCCCATTGAGAAGACTCCCATCAGTGAAAACCAGCCGGGCTCTCTTGACTTCTCTCTGGAGTCCCTGAACAAGCTGAATCACAGTAGCTCCAGTAGTGGCAGCCTGTATCCAGACACAGGCTTAGGCGGCCGCAGAGGTGACTGCCACGCCGATGCGGGGAAGAGTGGGGAGGACTGCTGCAAGATGGATGAGCCCTCCTCATCCAGCTTCTCAAGCAAGCCCGGGTTGGATCCTGTGGGCTCCCTCAGCGACTCGCTGTACGACAGCTTCTCGTCCTGCACCAGTCAGGGCTCTAATGACGTGTAGGGGCTAAGAGTAAGATGGCAGGGCTGTAGACCAGTCTATGTCCACTTCTCTGACATCTTGGACATGTCAAGTTCTTGGCCTTTATCAACTTTGTCTTCCCTTTTCATATTCTTCTTTTGTTTGGACGTTGGAGGGTACAGTAAGCCCATGGAGTGGACTTTTAGGTAGATTCTCATCTCTGTTGAACCGTAAGAGCCCCCTAAAAATTTGTTTTTGCATTTGCAAGTAAAAAATACTTAATAGGACTTTGGCTTCACTCCTCTTTGGATCTGGTCTTGATTCAAGCTCGACTTTCACCTAATCTTGGAAATGACTCAGACTGGACTAATGTGGTCTTGACTACAGCCCTGCCACAACACGTGGAGCCCTGTCCTTGCTACGTACAACACAAAGCACTTAGTGGAGCTGGAGACGCGAGGATGAAACCTCATCCCGAACACCAAACCAGGACTTTGAATAGTTTGACTCTGGGTGTGGTGGACTGGACAGCAATACACAACGTTGTCTCATTGCAATTCTTAGTTATCTTTTTCCCCACGCTGGGAAACGTCTTATCATTGCACTGTAACAAATACTGTACAAAGTGTAAGGAGTGTAAAGTGAATGATTATTCAAGCAGAGATAAGGAGGGCGTCTTCTGGGAGCAACAGTGATGGGCGACATTGGCGTGTAGTTGCAACAAAACTGTTGCTTTGATTGCATTCCTGTTTGCTAGGAAACTAGATTTAAACCTAAGGTGTCATTTTATGTTTGCTGCTAAGTACGTTGCCCATTTAAGTTGCCCATGTGGAATCACAACCCATAATAATACACCTGTTTCATCTTCGTCTACTTTTGTGAAGCAAAAACCACATAACAAATAACAACAGGATTTACAATTACTTTAATTTGTGTCCATTTTAAATAATTAAGGGTTAAACCTGTTGCTAATCTTGTCTTTGTGTGTGATTTTGAGCAGTTATGCAGCCGCTAACGGCAAACAAAACAGACAATTGTAAAAAATGTTCCTCAAATGAAATGAAAGTGACTATTTAGTTTAACATAACTAATTTTCAACAGAAGGTTATGTAATCTTTAACTGAAGAAAAACATGTCTCCACATGGTACATTAAGTAATAATGGTGATTTTTCAGTGTCTGCCTGGTACACAGGTACAGCAAATGACCAACGCACCCATTGTCATTGTTGGTAGCTCAGGGAACATACTGGACTAATGTAGATTGTAAGAATCAAAATGCAGCCATCAGGAAATTGTTGACAAATACAAATAACACTCAGTAATATTTTGCTTTTTTGAGTTCCTGATGCAAAACTCCTGAATCCAAACAGCCTGGTTTATAGTTTCATGTAGCATAGCATACCTGAACTCTCCAAACCTCAGTTTTCCTTTCATAGTTGTATATTATGTTGTATATAGAAATAAGTTAATATCAGAATGGGCATTGCTGATTGATATATGCAAATGAGAAAACAAAAAACAAAACAATTATGTACATTGTTTGCCAATCATTCAACCAAGGTTTTAAGTCTACTGTTTGAACATGGCATGTATCTTTTCTTATGGAATTCTTTTAGGGTTCTTGTTTAAAAAAAATCTTTATTTTGATCAATAAGAGCTAATACTAAAATATTTTATCACTTTATTTTAAAGACATATTTGAACTTAAGGTGAAGTTATGCCAAATCTCTATCTGGAATTTGACCAGCTGGTGCTAATCAACAGAGCCGCCTGTGTGTTTCAATTTTTCTATGAAACTGTTAATATTGTACGAAGAGAGTCTGAAGAGGACTTGTGTATTTTTCTAGATGTCCAGTATTTATACCCACATTTTGTACTGTCAGACTGTAGTGTGATTGTCATGCTTCACCTCTCTCCTTAAATGTTCCTGGTTCCTTTGTAAAGAGAAATGGTTACCAGCAGTGTTACTTTGGTAATTATTATTAATGTTATTATTATTATTATTATTGCTGTGTGCAATTTTGTCTGTTACACCAGACTTTAATGCTATATTTTATGTAACTATTTCCTAAATAAAAATGAGAAACTATTTCCTATTTCAAACTCAGCTGCAAGGTGTGTGTGTGTGTGTGTGTGCGCGTCTTGTTTTGTGCGCACAACATCTTCATGCATACATAAACGTGCGCAGGCAGCGCATGCGTCACCAGGTGATTCATTCATTCTTTCTTTCAGTGTGGAAATAAAGGTTTGAAGAAAACCCCTGAAATCGCCCCCCAAGGGCATCGCGTGTAATCACCGCTTCCCACTCACAATCTGTCAGCCGGAGTTGAAGCTCAGAGCCGGCGACAGTTCGTGCGCTCCGCCCGGTGCTGAGGGATTTATAACCATTAGTCCCTTGATGGGTAATTATGTGCGTATAAATAAAAGCAATTAGTTTATGTACGCTAGGATGATTTGCCTCTACATACAGTCACGAGCTCAATATATTTTATTGATCAGATGCAAAAACAGCAACAGAATCAGATCGAGGCCTACAGTATTGTGTTTTTGATGTTGGAGGCTGAAATAAGTGGAAAATGAAATACAGGTAGAATAGTCAACACTAATAAAGCTATAATAAAGTTTACATGGGCACTGATCTACTGTGAAAACACTCAAAGGAGCTGAAGTGTTCATAAAATGTCATAAAAGGTCAAACCCAGATTACCATTGCATTATTAAAGAAAAATATGGCAGTAGTGAAATGTAAAACCCACATAAACACTTTATCACAGCAACAAAGTGGAAGAAATCGTGAAAAACAATTTATTATAAGTCCCAAAATACTACCCAAAATAAATATTCTGAAAACAATTGATGAAAGGTAAGAAAAAGGCTCAATATTTTTAATTCAATAAGAAGAAACCGTCAGCATATTAAAGTACCATTAAAGTAAATCTTTTCTAAGTGAAAAAGTAGCATAAAGCCAAAGGTCCATCTATCTATTGCGCGCAGACGCACTGAAGTCCTACTATTTTTATAAGAATTTTATAAGAAACATTTATTACAGTGGCATATTGAAAGGGATAGACGTGGTCTCGTATTAAAATGAATTCACTGAACTTTTCCTAAATCTCGCAACAGGATCATCACAGATAATAATTATAATGTAGCCAATCATAAAACTAGAAAATGCTCAATATCTGTTAACTGACTATATACATAAATATCTATTATGGCCATTTCTCTGTCATCAGTGCATGAAGACAAACTGAGATTATGAAAATGCCAACAGTGAGCCGCCGTCACGTGGTGCGCGTTATGATTTCTGCGCTCTGGGTTTGTCTCCAGTTGCGCTGTGAGAAGAGACTCACTTTGCGGAGCTTTTGCTCTCACCTCAGCGAGCCGAGAGCATGAGCGGATCCGTGTCTCGGCTTCCTCCGCGGCGGTTCGTCCTCCGTGCCTCCGTCTGAACAAGTTCCTTTGGTCGGATGTTACCCCTCCGAGCGTCATTTGGGAGAGAATGCGTCTTCTCGTTTTTGCGACTTTATTTGGAGTCCTTCTCGACGCAGGTGGGTGCAAGTTGGGGAGACTGCAGCCGCGTTTCAGCCACCGTGAGAGGGAACAGTTCAGAGCTCATGTCCTCAGCTTAAACCAAGTGCTTATATTGTGGTTCGCGGCCAAGATATACTTCCTTTCTATCTACATTCATGCGCAATGATGCCAATATTACAAAAATGTATTCGATTGTGTGCAAGTTTTGCATCCATAGTACTGATATTTTGTATCATTTCATCTTAGGCTACTGTTCTAAAATGTTGACTTCACGTTGATGCCATTTCATTTAGAAAACAGAACTATAACCATTTGGTAACTCATTATCTCTGCGTGTGTGAAGTCTGTGCCTAAGATCATACTGCATCTGACAGCATGCAGACATGTACTGACTGACTTCATATCATTTTGGAAAAACTTGAGAAACATGAAAACATAATTGGCAGTAATGATCAAAACGTTGTATTTTTGGTGCTGGTTTTGCGCGCGGAGGGAGCAGTGGCGTGCTGGAATCCTCTGCGCTGTTTTTGGCACCGACGGGACAAGATAGTGACACGGATTCAAGCCAATAACACCCTTAAACCTGTGATTGTCTGTTACGCATGAGCTGTTTTTTTTTTCTGTTTCTCTGGTAGATGCGTTTGCTTTGAATGTATTTTCTTCTTGCCATTGCAAGAGCTGGCAAAGAAGGCGAAGATGCTGCTTTTTTCTTTCCATTTTGCTCTTTTGTGAGGAGGAAAAAGGGTGCTGTCTCCAGAGCTGTCCCTACATCTGTCAGATGTTTTATTATATCACTTTGGTGTGCCTACAGTGATTATAGTACATGGGATTGTGATTAGAAGATATTGATTTTGCAATTGTTCCTACACCTAAAGCTGTGAAGGATATGGTTTATATTTCTTATTATCGGCTGTTTGTTTGTTGTGGAAAAACCCAAATAGATTCAGAGCAATTTTCCAAAACTGATAAACTGCGCTCAGACGCTGGATTTTGCCCTTCAGCATGACCGATATATATTTCATAAAAAGAAAGAAAGTTCCTTGTGATCACATTGTCCTTCCAGGTGATGGATGGAGGTCAGACATTTGCTTGGCTTAAAGTAATTTAGGCTGGGATTGTTTTGATGTTGTTTATGGACCTTTTATCAGATGTGTTTTAATGGCACCGTCAGAGTTGAGATGAATGTTTGGTGCCATTTCAATGATTACACCACTAATATATGTCAGAGGAGAGGGATAGCCTTTCTTCGGAAAGAAAGGGCAGGTTTGTTTGTTGGAAGTTTTTGATTGAATGCCTCCGTATGCTGCTGCCATGACGATAATTAAACTAATTGAACACGGCAGGTATGATATACATAACAACCCGGTGTGCAAATTAAAACTGACTAGCAATAAAGAACGTCTCGTTGGCAATGTTCATCCTCAGCGCTCTGTGAAAAAACATTTAGAGGTTAAATGAAAGGAATAGACTTCACTATTACCCATGATGCAAGGAATCACCAGTGAAAATATGTCAGGTATAATAGGGGGACTGAACAGCGATCACACAGTCTGCAAAAAATATCCTAAAACTCTACAGTACTGTACAGTCAAGCTTTAAATTGCACTAAGATGTCATCAGGTCTCATAGCTTGAATGCTGCAGTTGTTTTGCCCTTTCTGCAGGGCCAATGTTCAGTTAAACAGACTCTCGGATAAATGAGGAGGTTTTAAGCAATACGAAAAGCTCATCCAGGCAGCAAAAGCAGTGAGAAGCGCTGTCTTCAAGAGCAGATGTGGTTGCAGTCCGACACTCACATTTTTATTATCTCAGGGGATGAGAATTCACGCGGGCAATCTCTGCACCGGCAGAGTGCATCAAGTCCCACTTACTGCCCGTTTGTGTTGTAAATGGAGCTTTATCACCTATAAAAAATCCATGTGATGAAAGGAAGGGACCACTTTTCTCTTTCTTTACAGCTTATTATCCGCCCAGTGTGTGAATCTATAACCTCACTGTTGACACTCATGAGACAGCCAATAAAAACAGCTGAAAAACACCTAAGATTAGACGTGGCGAAGGACTTCCAATCCTTATGTGCTATGTGAAGTCACAAAACCTCGACAGTGCCCTTCTGCTAGCGGGTATAATGTCACAAAACTGTGCACAAAATAGAGAAGATGACATTGCACTGTCATGGAGTGCCATTAGTCTTGTTTGGGGCCGCTGCACCATCAAAGGCACTCACACAGAAGAAGATCTATAAAAGCCTACATGAACATAAAGAAGATAGAAAATAGGTGATAGGTATGTCCCGAGTTGTCCACTTGACAACACATGAGTGGTGTCAATTTTCTCATCTAAATCTCGACAAGAAAGCAAATACTAAGCCTTCTCAAAATGTCGAACTATTCCTTTAACCAAAATGTTAAAGTCACTTTAGTAAGATATCCAATCAGCTATAGGCTTTGCATAAACAAACAAATATTTGTGCTTCAAATTTATGGCCATTTTTCCAAAAACAGCAGATGTCGCTTGAACCAAATTCTTTTCTTATATTGTGAAGCGTTGATTATTTCTCTGTTATTCTCAATAATGTCTGCAAACGTGCACTCTTTTTTTCCTGCTGTGTGGTGCAGGAGATGCCCTTCAGATCCAGTGCTACCAGTGTGAGGAGATGAAGCACAATGACTGCTCCACGCCGGAGTTCATCGTCAACTGCACCGTCAATGTACAGGACATGTGCCAGAAGGAGGTGCTGGTCAAACCGGATGGTAAGGGAGAGTTTACTGTATGGATGGCCATGGTAGCTCTCACTGCCTATTCCAAGCATCACCTTTCCTGCTGCTCAAAAACCAGACAGAGATCAATGGGATTTGTCGGAAGGGCAAATATGGATGCATGAGAATTCAATTTCATTTGTCGGTCAAGTGCACTTGGAAGTGCTTTACAAGATAAGTGGTCCCATTCCACAAAACAAGAGGAATATCGGAAGGCCATAATGAATAAAATACAAATACTAAAAGAACACATGCACACTTAAAAGAAAAGAAGGGGATGGGCTGTCTCGTTTAAAAAAGAAAATAGAGAATGTTGCTGATTAATAAGTGAAATACAATTCAAAATGGGTTCAGATTTTTCTACTAAGTAGTTGAAGAAAGGGCCTGAGCATATTTGTATCATCTGGGAATAACCAAACAAAGCCAAGTAGAAAGACAAAAGAAAGCACGTCATGGATTTAATAGGACATTGTGAGATATCTTCATTATTGCTTATTAACTTTTCCACAGATATATTTACAAATCTGTTGATATGGCTCTAGATTGAGATATTTTCTATCATGTACTTTTAGTGTAGGTATAGGCTCTCTAGGTTTTCATATTCCTTGATGGGATCCAGGGCACAGTCAGTGAAGATTGATAGCTGAGGGTGTAAATGCACAGGCAGGGTCAGCCAAAAGTATCCAAGTTCCTATTCATCTGTGGAAGAAAGGTGACCGTCTGGAAAGCGGAGACGGAGCTGAACACAGCGCTCAGAAGGTACACTAAGTTTTATTTATTTGCAGTTCAGATGAGGGCAGGCAACATTATTAATG